CTCTCAGCTTCCAGTCACACTTCCGCCAGAACTCCACCGCGGGACACAGAAGCCCCCCTGCCCCCCCACATGCGCGCGCACACGCACGCACGCGCGCACGCACGCACACACACACGTGCACGCACGCACACACACACATGCGTGCACGCACACACGCACATGCACATATGCACGCACACACACACGTGCACATACACACTTCCGCCAGAACTCCACCGCAGGACACAGAAGCCCCCCTGCCTACACACACACACATGCACACGCACACACATGTGCGCGCGCACACACACACACGCACATGCACGCTCACACACACACGCGTGCACGCACACATGCATGCACACACATGTGTGCGCGCGTATACACACGCGCGCGCGCACGCACACACCCACACACACGCACACATGCACACACACCCACAGGCACACGCACACACACATGTGCGCATACATGCACACACAATGCGCGCACACACGCACATACACATGCACATGCACACACGCGCACATGCACACACACACGCACATACACGCACGCACACATGCACACGCGCGTGCACACACACACTTCCGCCAGAACTCCACCGCGGGACACAGAAGCCCCCCTGCCTACACACACACACATGCGTGCACGCACACATGCACACATGTGTGCACACATGCATGTGTGCGCACACGCACACACCACACACGTACGCACACACACACACACGGTAGCGCTGAGGAGAGAGGCGGCAGCCACCTTCCCACCGCGGCCCACCCGTGACCTCCACCTGCTCTGCAGTCAGGCCATGCCAGGGGCACCAGCCAGGGGCCTGGACTTTGGTCTGGGGTGCACAGCTGCTCCTCAGTGGGTGAGCCTGGGGCTGCGGCTCAGGAGGGAGACCCCATGAGCAGTTTGGCAGAGCTCACCTACACCCCTGGAGGCGGTAAACTCCCTCTGTCCCTGGACCCTGGGTCTTGAAGATCCTGGCACATCTAGCACATTAGGGCAGGCTTGGCCGCAACCGTGGCTATGGTGATAAAGCAGGCCCCCGCCTGTGCTGGGCTGCTGGGAAGGCGGCGATGTGGGGCTGCCGGCCCCTCTCAAACCACCAGCACGCAGACCAACGTGGCCAGGCAGCGGGCGTGCCGCTCCACCCCGTCTTCTCTCCCAGGGAGGAGATCGCGGCCTGGGCAGAGCAGAGCAGAGTGAGGCAGCACAGCTGGTGCGTGTGCCGCGCGAGGGCACGGGGGTGGGGGGGGGTCCCCGTGGTTTCCCTGGAAACGACAGGCCGCAATGCAGAGGGCAGAAGGCTGGGGGGAGGGGGCAGAGGGCCCGGCTGCCCCACCCCACCACGCAGGCCAGGGCCCCACTTGTCCCTCCCCAAGGGCTCCTGGCACACAGCTCTCCACAGCTGACTGGCAGTGTGAGAGGTCTGGATCCTGGATGAATGCAGGGGCCAGGCCCCATTCCCCTCCCATAGGGGCCCTCAGACTGGGACAGTCGGTGGGGGTGGCGTCCCTGCTGGGGGGGAGGCAGGCCAGGAATCAGAGCAGGTAGAGAGTCCCAGCCCAGGAAGGGAAGCCACAGACAAGAGGGCCACAGAGACCAGGGATGGAGAGGGAGGCGAGAAGCCAGGGCGGGCACAGCACTGGGGAGGGGCCTTGGCTCCAGGAGACCCACAGAAGAGTTTATGGGAACCACGCCAGCATCTGAGTGCCAGGAACAGCGTAGGCACCCTCCGTGGGCACACGAACTCGGACCACAGAAACAGACAGACCCTAAGTCACAGTGACTACGCATTTTGTGTCCACCTGCGTAGGCCGTGGCACCAGGTTCTGGCAAACCCCAGTGGTTTCTGGAAGACACTTAGAGCCGAGGTGCACGTCAGTACACCCTTAGCCAAGTGTGGCAAGAGACTGTCAGAGAAAGAACAGGAGTCCCTGAAGATAGGCAGTGTGAGCAAGAGATGGCGCCAGGCAAGGCGCAAGCTTCAAGGAAGCATGCCTGCCGCAAGGGTGTTGGCTCGAGGCCGCCTACACACCCGGCTGCACCTTCACCGCCTCCAGCTTCACCCTTACTGTCCGCTTCTTGGCTGTACATCCGTTGCCGCCTTTATTCTCATTCTGGCTATTCTTGTACTGACCCGCAAACAGGGCACTCCTTTCAGTCCAGAGAAGGCTTCTCTGAATAATAAAGACCAGGACTGAAGATTAGATGTGGACAATGCCCCAATCAATCTATCACCTGATGTGACGCTGCCTCCAGAAGCTCCTGCGATTTCACAAGCCGCTTTGCGGCTCACTCATAGTAAATATAGAAATTTGAAATTTCCAGATACGTTACAACAGGCAGCATTAATGAATTAAACCACCAGAAGGAGTTATCCCAGAAGCACAGAGTTCTAGAAAAAGGGACCCCTAATAATAAAAGGAAAAGAAAGATTCCAACAGTTACGACTAAGTTTGGTCCAGCTTACGTTATAGGGAATTGGTGGTTTCCCATAAGATATAAAGTTAGTGACATCACATTTCCTGAGCCGACCGATGAACCTTTGCCTTATACAGGCGTTTATAAACATGGAAATAGATAGATTAATGTAAAAGAAAAAAAGACAGCCGGGCGCTGGTGGCTCACGCCTGTAATCCTAGCTACTCAGGAGGCTGAGATCTGAGGATCACGGTTCAAAGCCAGCCCAGGCAGGAGAGACCATGAGACTCCTATCTCCAATAAACCACCAGAAAACCAGAAGTGGCGCTGTAGCTCAAGTGGTAGAGTGCTCGCCTTGAGCTGAAGAGCTGAGGGACAGGCGCCCAGGCCCAGAGTTCAAGCCTCACGACCAACAAAAAAAAAAAAAAAAGACTATCTTGGTACTCATTAGATTTTATGTAAAGATTAGGTAGATCTAGACCATTGTGGTGTTTGTTATCAAAACAACAACAAGATAGTTTAAAATAACAATTAGAAATTCATGTGAAAAAATCTTGGGATCAAAATCATAGGAAACGGAGAATGCCTGGCTCAACCTGAAAGTGGTTTTTAGGATGGTTTCAAAGGGACTTGAAAACTTATGGAAAAAATAGAGTACAATATAAGTACAGCCCTGTCTTGTGTTTGTTAATTATTAAACATAAAAGGCTGAATAGATGATGCATTGTATTAAACAATGTGCTAGACTTGTCTCGCACCACTTAGCTCAAACAGTTGGTGGGATAGTCATCATTTCCATGTAACCCATTAATGCTTTGCTTTTCTTAAAAATTATGTGCTTAAAGAATCTATGTCGCAATCACACGGTGTATAAAAATGTTAACTCTCCTCAGTGAAGATGCACTCACTCCGATGCAACTTTTGAGTCTGTGTCTGTCACTTCGCCGACTCCTTGCCCCCATCCCGAGGTCCCGTCCCGCCGGTCCCGGTGCCCCGGCCCAGCTGCTCCGTCGCAGTGGAGCACTCACAGCTGTGGCCCTGCCTACTGCTGGCCTGCGGGTCACAGCTGGACAGCTGTGTCCAGGGCAGCCGCTGTCAGGGAGTTCTTTAGTGAAACTGTTCCAAGCAATTCCACCCCTGGAAAACGAATGTCCATACTCAGACTCCTGAGAGCCTCCAGCGGACACAGCTTACCCTGTGTCTGGACGGGCAGTGAGGAAACGCCACCGTGCCGCGGAGGCGGCCAGGGATGAGGCTTTACCACGCCGGGCGGAGCCACATCCTGGATGACACTGTGACCGCCACCAGCAGAGCGGGAGCTGCGGGAGGGACAGACGAGAGGCTGCGGGCGGCTTCTGGGGTAAAATGTCCCAGAGTGGACCGTGGCGGCGGCTGCGCACTCCTGAAAATGTCCGGGACGCTCAAGCACTGGCCACTGAAGGCCGCCAGTGAGCCAGTCGGGGGGAGGGGGGGTGCGCCCACCTCGCCCGCGTGCCCACGGGCTGGCTGGTCCCGCTCTTCAGGCGGCTGTCGGTCACCAGGCTGCCCAAAGCCGCGAGCAATGGTGACCAGTGAGCCACAGTCCACCAGCCCAACAGAGGGGACAGGCCACGTGTCTCCCAGGCACCACAGCTGCTGGAGAGGTTCTGTACAGAGAAGACACGTGCATGGCACAGCCGGGACAGTCAGCAGAGGCACCAAGGGCCTGGCACTCCAGTCATGGCGCCAAGCCTCGAACCGCGCTTCTCGGCGCAGCCTCCTGAGCAGCTAGAGTTACAGGTGTGAGCACCGGCGCCCGGCAACCTGTCATCTGTCTGCACCCAGTGGCAGGGGTGGCGGGCATGCACTGCCTTGGCCACCTGCTTTTCTCCACTCCTGCGGCTTGAACTCGGCCTGAGCGCTGTCCCTGAGCTTCTGCCGCTCGAGGCTGGCGCTCCACCACCTGAGCAGCAGCGCCACTTCCTGCCTTTATCGTGTACGTGGGACTGAGGAATCGAACCCAGGGCTTCACGCAAAGCACCGTACCACTGAGCCACCTTCCCACCCCACCTCCTCACTTTCTGACACAGGTCACTGTCCCAGTGTGAGTGCCCCAAGAGCGGCCGTCCGGGGTGGGCAGGGGGCAGCCCCCGCAGGACCGGGGCAGGCCGCACTCACGGCACTTTGCTTCGGCAGGTAGGGTGGACCAGAGTTCTTACAAGTTGCACTGGGTCATCTGTAACCTCGGGACATGGCACGACCCTCCTCCCCTTGGCCTCTGGTCTATACCCAGGGGAGACGAGGGGATAGCAGCAGGGCGCAGGGACCCAGCCCCACCGACTGGAGTGACAGCAGAGCCCACCTCGTGCTCTGGTGCCCACCGGACCCCCAACCTCAGCCACGGCCCCAAGAGAACAGATCAGCAGCAGCTACACCCTCCAGCAACAAGCCCGGGAACCCTCCACCTCAGATCCCCAGCCGGCCCACGGAGGGACCAGGCCAGGCCGGCCCGAAGGCGCACACTCCACTCCCACAAAGCCAGACACAGCATAGGCTCTGCTCCGGAGACGCCCGCCGCCTCATGCACACTCCACAAACAGCAGAAGCAATGCTGCTCTTGTAAGGCGTTTATTTTGTGGGGAGCTCAAGGTGGGTGATCTCCATGTAGGCCGTTCTTTCTGTGTGAGACAGGGTCTATGTGGTCCAGGCTGACCTTGAACTCATGATCCTTCTGTCTCATGTAGCTGGGATTACAGGCGTGCATCACCACACCCACTGTGGGTAGAATTCGACCTCAGGACTGTCAATTTCTGATCGAACAGTCATCACACACAGGCCTTAGCTCAAAGAAGGAAAACTCTCAAAGCTAGCAGAGAGCGCAGGAGCGTGCCCAGGTACTCTGCCTTTATTCAACCCAATGCAGATGAGCCGTGCAGCCCGGCTCCAGCTTGTCCAGGACTGGCCTGGTGGCCTGGTCACTCCTTGCCTTCCAGTGTCCGCTTCCTCTTCCTCTCTGGCTGCTGCACTCCGGCTTTCTTCGCCCTGGCACCTAGCAGCTGCTGAGGCTTCTTCCTCCTTTTCCCGTGAGCCCCTCTCTGGCGGCCAGTCTCTGCCTGCTCTGCAGGCCTGCTCCTCTTTCTGCTCCTCTTCCTCTTGGTCTCCATGCCTGGGTCAGGACTCAGAGCCTCCTCCTCTCCTTCCCCTGGTGAAGCAGCCCAGCTGTGAGCGCACGCCAGCCCCCAGACAGCCACAGCAGTGGGCAAGGGTGCTCACGCCAGTGTGAACAACGTGGACAGTGCTGTGCCCCCAAGCCCAGGCCCCAGGGAGGACTGAGACTCCAGAAAGAGGACAGACGGGGGGGGGGGGGGGGGGGGGGGGGCGTGGAACCAGTGTGGTCCAGGGAGTTGCTGAGGTGACTGGCCAGAGCCCAGGCGCTGACTCCCAGGCCCCCAAAGGGACCCAGCAGCTCTCCACAGGGCAGGTGGGGGGGGGGGGGCATGTAGCATGCACGGGTTGCAGGTTGCAAGGAAGGCTTTCCGACCCGGCCAGGGGCACCAACCCCCACACCCCCACCACCTGGGCAGAACACACCCCAAGCCCGGCCGTGGCGTCACACACCGGCCACGCTCCTGTGGCCTCCACGCAGAGGGCGGGACACCGCCAGGCAGAGCACAGGCCCCTGCAGGGCAGTTCCAGCGGGTGGCAGCCTTCAACCCATGAGTGGTGCCCAGCACAGCGGGCACCCAGGCTGGTGCCCACCAGGGGGACAGCGAGGCAGCTTCTGCCTCCTCATGCCTCCAGGCCTACCTCCCTCCGGGGGTGATATGGGCAAACTCTTCTTCTTCTTCTTCTTCTGCTTTCCCTTGCGCCTCCCTTCTAGTAGCTTCTTGTAGGCTCTCTCCGGGACGTCGTCCTCAGGGAAGCTGCCTGGGAAGGCAAGGTGGGCTGGGCGCATGTGCACAGGGCTGCAGCACTGCATAGGGTGACCCAGGCCAGAACCAACCCGTCCAGTACCCATCCTTCACACCCTCGCCACCCCAAGGCCAATTCCTGGAGCTATATAAGGCCAAGGTCTGCAACGGCCTGGGCTGGGTATGAGGAGATGTGGGCAGGAATGAGGCCACACCCTGGCAGGGCCCTGTGCCCTGAGAAGCCAGGCCAAGCGCTTGTGCGACCACCTGCACCCACAGATGCTGATGGTTGCCTTGTGTGATTGTGGCTAAGAATTCCAGGCTTCTCTGTCATGCTGGCTTTGAACAGGCCTCCTCAGATCTCAGCCTGCCGAGTAGCTACGCTTACAGGCGTGCGCGACTGGCAGCCGGCATCATACATGTATTTTAGGCATCAGGACAGGTGAGCTGGGGGGTGGGAACAGTTCCCCAGGCCAGTGCGTAACAGACAAGGTGTCACCCATGGCATCTGCAGCTGCTGCATAAACGCCCTTCGGCTTGGCTGCAAAACCTGCCAAAACCTCCAGGGAGCTCGTGCAGGTCAAGTAAGTATACACCACACCGGAGCCTCGACACCTTCCCTCCCCACCCCCAGGCCTGTGATGGATTCATGCCTGTGACACCTCTGTGCAAATGGAGAAGTGGTGGCATCCCTCAGCCCCACCCTGCTCCCCCAGAGACCATTCACACCATGATAGGACGTGCATTCGCACGTGCGCGCGCGCACACACACCCACACGCAGTGTCCAACCCGATCCTCACCTCCAGCCAGCTCCTGAAACCTGTAAGAGAGGACAGGCGCTGTGAGCAGACGCGGAGCCCCGGCTCTGCGGGGGACAGAGCTGCGGGGCCAGCGAGGGGCCTGCAAACACCCCTGCAGGGGCAGGCAGCCTCCGCTCCCGCCCACCCCGCCGCGGCCACTGGAGGACGGCGCCCAGAGAGCGTGCCAAGCACAGGCAGCCGGCCTGCACCGGCTTCAACTCACTTCCGGATCACTTTGTAGAGCCGCTTCCTGTTCTGGGAAGGGATGCTCTCCTGACTGGCCAGCTCGAACAGTCTGTTAGCAACTGCCTCGTAGTCAAACTGTTTCAGAGAGACGTGGGATGGGATGGGATGGGATGGGGGGGGGGGGCGCGGGGCGCAAGGTCAGCCGCCTCCCCAGACCATGACCATGCAGGCCTCTCAGGTGGGAAGGTACTGGGACCAGCACTGGCTTCTCTGCTCAACCATGATGCCATGTGCTGTCCCAACTCTTCTGGACAAATGGCACTGCAGCCGGGACGCGCCACGCTGCTGCAGGGCGGCGCAGCGCAGCCCAGCCCAGCCCAGAGGCTCGGCACCTACGGCCTTAGCCCGTCTAACCTGTGCCAGAAATGGCAGCGCCAGCGCAGTCACGGGGACATTTAAAGCCCCATAACACCCCGACAGGGAGGGGGAAGGTAACCCAATGCCACCGTTTCAGCCAAGGGACCAAACCTTCCTCGACGGGCGTGACAATTCCCACCTGCCGCGTCACATACTGGCCACTCAACACGGCCACCTCACTGAAGCCCAGCATGCCCACGAGGGGCCAAATGCCAGGGGAGGAGGCACCAGACGCCACAGGAAGCACAGGATGCCACGAGGTGAAGTCGGGCCTGGCTTCTGTGCACCTCAACACCTGGCTCCCGTGGACAAAGAGACGCAGGGATCCCTCCCTCCCGCCCCCCCCCCCCCCCCCCCCGTCCCTTGGCCTACCTGAAGTACGGGGCCGGTGTTCTCCCCGTCCTCTCCCGTCTGCCCCTTGCCCACCTCAGGGTCAGTCCTACGGGTGGAGCCTAGAACAAGAGACCAAGAACCCAGAGCTGCATTGTGTGTGCGACTCCAGAGCCAGCCCTGGGCGCCCAAGGCCCCGTGCGCCTCGCGTGTCGGGGAGCGTGGCGAGACGGCCCAGGATGTCTTGGGAGGCGCCTGTGCCATCGGAGGCCTTCACGAAGACAGCAGAGGTGGGGTCCGAAAGTCCAGCCTCAGGTAGACCCTTTTGGCACCAGACCCAACAGTGAACAGAGGACCGGAGTCAAGGCTCCAGACACAGCCACAGCGGTGGGCACGGCCCTGTACAGCCATTTAGAAGCAGTGCGTGCGGCTGAGCCAGGCAAGACCGCAGCCTGGGCAGAGCGGCCATCAGACACAGCTTCCATCCCAGAGGGGCGGGGCAGGAAGGAGGGCCAGGGAAGTGACTTACGGAAGGCAGCAAGGCAGAAGGCTGTGGTACAGCACTCGCCTTGCACGCGCAAAGCCCTGGGGTCCAGGCCCAGGCCCAGGCCCCAAAAGCAGAAATATGTACGTTAGGTGTCCAAAGAATGACAGGGAGACAGAGACCCAGGGGCAAGGTACCCAGGCAGCTGGGCACGCGAGCAGCCGTGCCAGCACACGTGTGGGAGCTGCGAGTGGCGAGCACGCACAGCGGGAATGAGACAGGCTCAGGGGAGCAGAGGAGATGTGCGCTGTCAAGTACTGTGGGCCAGGCACCGGCGGCTCACCCCTGTAATCCCAGCTACTCAAGAGGCTGAGATCTAGAGGCTCACGGTTTGAAGCCAGCCTGGGCAGAAAAGTCCTCAAAATTATATCTCCACTTAACCAGCCAACATGCTAGACTGGAGGTGTGGCTAAGTGGCAGAGCATAGCCACAAGCACGAAAGCAGAGCGAGATCTCAAGCCCGGCATTCAAGCTTCAATACCAGACACACAGGCGTACACACACACACACACACACAGCTTCATTACCAGTACACACAGGCGTACACACACACACACACAGCTTCAATACCAGTACACACAGGTGTATACACACATACACACACACACACACAGCTTCATTACCAGTACACACAGGCGTACACACACACACACACAGCTTCATTACCAGTACACACAGGCGTACACACACACACACACACACACACACAGCTTCATTACCAGTACACACAGGCGTACACACACACACACACACACACACACACACACAGCTTCATTACCAGTACACACAGGCGGACGGACACACACACACACACACACACAGCTTCATTACCAGTACACACAGGTGTACACACAGGCGTACACACACACACACAGAGCTTCATTACCAGTACACACAGGCGTACACACACACACACACAGCTTCATTACCAGCACACACAGGCGGACGGACACACACACACACACACACACACACACAGCTTCATTACCAGTACACACAGGTGTACACACACACACACACACACACACACACACAGCTTCATTACCAGTACACACAGGCGGACGGACACACACACACACACACACACAGCTTCATTACCAGTACACACAGGTGTACACACACACACACACACACAGCTTCATTACCAGTACACACAGGTGTACACACACACACACACACACAGCTTCATTACCAGTACACACAGGTGTACACACAGGCGTACACACACACACACACAGAGCTTCATTACCAGTACACACAGGCGCGCGCACACACACACACACACACAGCTTCATTACCAGTACACACAGGCACACACACACACACACACACACAGCTTCATTACCAGTACACACAGGCGTACACACACACACAGCTTCATTACTAGTACACACAGGCAGGCACACACACACACGCACACACGCACGCAGCTTCATTACCAGTACACACAGGCATACACACACACACACACACAGCTTCATTACCAGAACACACAGGCACACACAGGTACACACAGGCACACACACACACACACAGCTTCATTACTAGTACACACAGGCAGGCACACACACACACACACACACACACGCAGCTTCATTACCAGTACACACAGGCATACACACACACACACACAGCTTCATTACCAGAACACGCAGGCGCACACACACACACACACACACACACACACGCACGCAGTCTTCCCCTTCTGTGCCGCAGTGGACTGTGGGTGAAAGAGCCACAGGACCGGGAGGCAGTGAGACCCACCATCGGGAGCTCCGGGGCTGGCCGGACCGGTCCTGGAGGCGGTATGTGTGCTGGGGTCCTCACCTGCAGACAGGTTCCCAGATGGCGCGTCCTGTCCATGCTCAGCCTCGGCACCATCATCATCATCATCGTCGTCATCATCATCATCATCGTCGTCGTCGCCAGCTGAGCCCTCATCCTCTCTGTTCTGCGCATCCAACTCGCTCATCAGGTCTTCGATGGCCAGCGGGGCCTGCTCCACGATCGCCTCCAAGATGCCCCGGGTGATGTTATGCAAGACCAGGGAACTGAGGGCAGGCAGCGCACACGGCCCGTCGCGCGGGGCTCAGCTCCCCGGGCAGCACCACCCCACCACGCCCCACAGCCCCGGCGGCCCCACTCACTCCTGCGTGCAGGCGGCAATCCTGCAGAAGGGGTCGATGAGCTGCAGGTTCTGGTCCGCGGTGAGCTGAGGGGAAGGACACAGGGGAGGTGGGCGGGGCCAGTCCTGGGCACAAGCACGGGGCCCGCCGGCCGCGGTCGGCACCTCACCTCTGCAGCGCCCACTTTGCTCAGCTCCTCCAGGAAGATCTCAAGGAAGTGGCTCTTCACCCCATTGGGGGCCTCGCTGTCCGGGTGCAGGATTTCGGTGGTCAGCAGATCGAGCAGCTGCTCAACCAGTCTGAGGAAGAGAGAGGGCAAGTACAGCAGCAGGCGTGGGGGGACACAGGTCCCCGGGGCCCAGGCCCGGTGAGAACACACCGCCCCTTCCACACTGCAGGTGAACCCCGCGGATCGTCCTTGCAGCACAAAGTCCCGTAGCCACAGGCTTATGAGGCCACACTGCACCCTGCGCAATCACACAGTTTGCCCGTCCCTTGGAGAAAGGTCCACCCCCTGCAAGTGGTCCTCGCTGTCCCTGGGGGCGAGTACCGCCTGGGCAGACGTGTTGGGTGAGGACAGTGTCCAGCAGGGTTGATGCCACAGGCCACCTGACATGTCCCAGGACCACTGCACGGAGCACTGGCTCCACTCCATGCAGGCAGTAGAGGTACGCCACTGCTCTTCTGGGCACCCAGGGCTAGGTCAGAGCCCAGAGAGCACTAGATAGGAAGCAATCCAGGTGCACCCCAAACTAGAGTGCTGACAGTGCAAACTCCCACCTGGGACTGGGAAGGGCTTTTCCTAAAGCCCCTCAACAGCATCTACAACAGAAAACACCAAGGTGAAAAAAAAAAAAGAAAAAAAGAAAACACCGAGGTGCTATCAGCCTCAGAAAGAAAGAACAGAGGCCAAATCTGGTGCAAAACCAAGAGACAGATGCACAAAGGCCAGCAGGAGGCACCCCAGGGGGAGGGAAGAGACAAAGGGTCTTCCCAAGACTCTCACGGCAGCTACTCAGGAGGCTGAGTTCTAATGGGTCACGGTTCAAAGCCAGCCCAGGCAGAAAAGTCCATTAAACTCTTATCTCCAATAAACCATAGAAAACCAGAAGTGGTGCTGTAGCTCAAGTGGTAGAGTAACTCGCCTTGAGCTGAAGAGCGCAGGCACAGCGCTCAGACCCAGAGTTCAAGCCCCACGACCGACCAAAACAACAACAAAAAAAGCATTCACTGCCCTGCACTGGTGCTCACAGCTACACCTTAGCTATTCAGAAGGCTGAGATCTAAGGATAACAGTTTGAAGCCAGCCTGGGGCAGAAAAGTCCACGAGACTCTCATTTCCAATTAACCAGCAAAAAGCTGAAAATGGAAGTACACCTCACATGGTAGAACACCAGCCTTCAGTAGAAAAACCCAAGTGAGAGCAAAAAGCCCTGAGTTCAAGCCCCAGTGCCGACACAAAAAGAAACAAACGCTTTCACTTCCAGTATCTTTAGAGGTACAACATCTCCCTACAAGAGAAAGGGTGTGCTTCTGCGCTGCCTGAGCCCCTCGCTGGGTGACTCACCGCTCTTCCCATCCTCCACTCTTCACAGCCTTGAAGGACTCATTCAGGACCATCCGCATGAGCTTGGGCACAGAAGGACTCAGTTAGCAGAAGCACAGCACAGCCCACCAAAGCCTTTGGGAGGGAAGGGGAGGGGAGGGGAGGGAAGTGGAATAGAGGGGGGGAAGGGAGGGGAGGGGAGGGAAGGGGAGGGGAGGGAAGTAGAGTGGAGAGAAGGGGAAGGAAGTGAAGTGGAGGGGAGGGGTTTTCCTTCCTCCACAGATAAACACCACGTGTCCACTGTACGTCAGATCACAGGAAAAAGGGACAACGAGGAACAACGAGGACATGCAGCCTGGCAGCCTGTGTAGGAGCTCGTGCGCAGCCGGAGCCCCTCTCCTGGGCACCCTGTGGGCCTGCAGTGTGCCCCGTCATGTTCCTCAGAGGGTCAACCCAGAACTAGGCCGAGTGGCTGGACTGGGCTACAGAGGGACAGGGACAGGCTTTGCAGACCAACAGCTTTTGCTGGACCCCAGCATTCACCCAGCTATGCCATCTCAGCATGGGGACTTTGCTCAGGACCACGTCTTGCAGAATGACACGCATGAAGGTGGCACCTGGCTGGGCCCACCTCGTGTCCCCCTGACACTCCACAGCCTGTGCCTCTCACACCATGCAGGCCTTACTCTGAGAGTGAGTGTACCCGTGCACCCACCCTGGCCACCCAGGCCTGGTCTGGGGAGGCACCTTGTGCCCTGGTGCTGCTGGCCACAGCCCCTCAGGCATCGTCCCCAAGGTTCACTGCCAACTCCACCAGGAGGCGCTGTCAACTCCACTTATGCACTTTGGGGATGACCCCTGCTGGGCTTGGACAGGGTCAATCCCAGACCACTGAGCTCAGGGCTGGGTGTACACCCTCACCATGTAGAACTTGTCCAGGCGCAGTCTGTCGATGCCAGCCCACTCTCGGTTCATGGTCTGCCAAAAGGCCTGTAAGAACAGGTGCCCTAGAAAGAGAGCCCAGTTAACACCATAGTGGGCGGGTGGTGGGGGGAGATGGGCGTGGTGCTACGGTGCAGTTGCCGATGGGATGGGGGCAACCTTCCCCAGGAAGTCCCAACTTCTCTGGCCTTTCCCAGCTTGTGCACTGCGCTAAGACATGAGGCTAGCAATGGGGCTGGGGCTGGGGATTAACGGCACAGCACTCCCCCTAGCACGCACAAGGCTCTGGGTTCAACCTCTAGTACTTCAAGTAAAAAATCAGTAACCAAAGTCTTGCTTTAGGCATTGCAGAGAGAACACAGCATAGCTCGGCAAAACTGCCACGGTGTTTTCCCAAAAAAGGCTCAGCGGAGCTAGGCACCTGTCATCCTAGCTGCTCAGAAGGTTGAGATCTGAGGATCCCACTTCAATGCCAGCCTGAGTAGTAAAATCCATGAGACTCTTTTTTTTTTTTTGGGTCTGGTCGTGGGGCTTGAACTCTGGGCCTGGGCGCTGTCCCTCAGCTCTTCAGTTCAAGGCTAGCGCTCTACCACTTGAGCCACAGTGCCACTTCCGGCTTTTTTCTTTTTGCTTATGTGGTGCTGAGGAATCGAACCCAGGGCCTCATGTATGCAAGGCAAGCGCTCTACCACTGAGCCACCTTCCCAGCCCCACCATGAGACTCTTATCTCCAATTAATCACCAGAAATCTGGAAGTGGCGCTGTGGCTCAAGTGGTAGAACGCTCGCCTTGAGCTGAAGAGCTCAGGAGCAGTGCCCAGGCCCAGAGTTCAGGACCACTGACAAAAAAAAAGGCACAGAGGGAACAATATGGACAGCAAGAGAAGTGGGAACGGGGCCGTCTGGCCCGGCGGGCTGGGCTGAGGGCCTCGGCTGCAGCAGGACTGGCAGGAGGGGTCATGGAGGCAGCACGACTGATTGCTCCTACCCCAGATACAGAATCAACAATCAGACAAAGACCACAGGGGCCTGTGCAAGGCCCCAGTTTCTATCCCTCACATCTCAAACACCCAAAAAGAGAGACTAAGACAGATTCTCACAAACTGTGTGTTCACCACTGTCTTGCTGACTACAATGCAAAGAGAAGCCACAACCACAGGCACTGCCCACAGCACGGGCCCTACTGTCCCACATCAGGGCTGCCCTCAGCCCAAGATGCGGACACCCAGGCTGCAGCCCCACAGCTGGGCTTCACTGGACCAGCGTATGGACATCAGGACATTTAAAGGCTGCCAGAGGAGTCCAATGAGTGGGCAAGGTGAGAACTACTCATCTTGGTCAGAAAGAAACGAAGGAGTTATGCCCAATACTCACGGCTACCAGGTCCAAAATGCAGTCTAATTCTACACTACCACACTAGCTTTTCCTTTGCACTGTAGAATGCAGGACCCCGCCTGTCATTCCAAAGCTGAATCTACATATAAGCGAGCACAGGCAGAGCACTGGGAGCACATTCTACCCAGGATGTGCAACTCCAGGTCTTGGAACATAAAGGTCTGTGTTGTGTACCTTTGAGCCTAGGAGACTCTGGCCACTCACAAAGGAGCTTGCTTAATTTCAGCTGTGTGTACTCACGTGCCTCAGTGGTCTGAAATGCATGAATGAGCTGGGCAATGGTCTTTCCCAGTTCTTCCTGTGCAAGAAAGAACAAAAACTCCCTCAGATCCTGAAGCACGTTGCACACAGTGGGTCAACACACCACTGTTCATTCACTCAGCAAAGAGAACTGGCCTCTCAGGGCTCGGCCTAAGGGACCAGTTTTCTGCTTCTCCACTGAAGCCAGGACAATGACCACCCCATAAACAACAGCAGTCACCACCATCCCGGGTCACTCAGGCTGTGTCCTGTCCCAGGAGCTGTGGGATAGCAGGGGCATGGGAGAAAGGGAAGCCATGGGACACAGCCACCTTGCCATCAGGAAGCAAGGCCAACCACATCCAGGTGTGCATGCCTCCTGATATCAAGCATCACTGGAAACATTTGCTACGAGGAAGGCTCCAGAACCTCCTCTTGAGACAGTTGTTTAGCAGGCCTAGAATATGGCCTCTCTTTGTATATAAGCTCCCCAGGAGCCTTTTATTCTGTCCCTTGAATTCTATTATTTCAAGACTGTTTTCTCCGGGTTCTATAATCTCCATGCCTGTAACCCTTGCTACTCAGGTGGCTGAGATCTGAAGACCACAGTCTGGAGCCTGTCCAGGCAGCTAAATCCATGAAACTCTATGTCCAGTTAACCAGCAGAAAGCCAGAAGAAAAGGTACGGCTCATGTAGTAGAGCGCCAGCCTTATGCAGAAAAAGCCAAACAAGAGAGGGATCCTGAGTTCAAGTCCCAGTAACAGCATGCACACAGGCAGGCACGCACACACAACTGGATTTCAACCAAATCAGGACACACATGAAACCCATCTGACCTGCAGGGCCTACTGCCAGTGTCACCATGGTAACAAGCCATGCTAGTCCTCGGCCAGTGCCACCAAAGGCCAGGACCCTGGCAGCTGCCAGAACCGGCAGGTTCTGCTGCGCGGCCCTCTCCAGCACCTCTGGCCCTGCTATGTGGTCAGCCATGTGCTCGAGCCCTCCAGCCACTCTTCCCCGATGCTCACCTGCAAGAGCGGCTTGTCCTGCATCCACATGCAGTAGAACAGCCCCTTCCATATCTTCAGCAACTCGTCGTGTGTGAAGCCACCTGCAGGGTAACAGCGACGTGAGACTAGCGGACTCCTGAGCGTGACCGGGGGACTCTGGACCTGGCAGGGCGCGGGGGACACTGCGACCCGCAGGCCTGCAGTTCTTCCCCATGCCTTCACACCGCCGGCAATAGGCAGAGCCCAGGCGGGGTGAGTGAGCAGGGCAGCGAAGGCGGTGGTAACTGGCCCATCAGCTAGGCTAGCAAAGGAGGGAGTAGCCGAGATCCCTGCTGAGCTGTTCCCAGGGGCTTGGACCCGACTGCGTGCGGCGAGAACGTGCAGAACCGAGGGCGCAATGAGCACGGGGCACGGAGCCCGTTCTCGGCCCGCGTGGGGCTCGGGCGAATTCGAGAGCTAGCGCCAAGTTACCAACGGCGGTGAGGGCTGCTGGGGGCCAGGGCGGACTGCGGGGGTGCGGGCTGAGGGGCGGGAGGAGGGCAGCACGCGCGCGCGCGCGGCGGAGGGAGGCAGGCGTGCGTGCGTGCGTGCGTGCGCGGGGGAGGGAGGCGTGCGCGCGCCCGGGGGGAGGGAGGCGTGCGTGCGCGCGGGAGGGAGGCGTGCGTGCGCGCGCGGCGGAGGGAGGCGTGCGTGCGCGCGCGGCGGAGGGAGGCGTGCGGGCAGGGCGGAGGGAGGCGCGCGCGGGCGGCGGAGGGAGGCGTGCGTGTGCGCGCGGCGGAGGGAGGCGTGCGCGCGCGCGGCGGAGGGAGGCGCGCGCGCGCGGGGGAGGGAGGCGTGCGCGCGCGCGGCGGAGGGAGGCGTGCGTGTGCGCGCGGCGGAGGGAGGCGTGCGCGCGCAGGGCGGAGGGAGGCGCGCGCGGGGCGGAGGGAGGCGCGCGCGGGGCGGAGGGAGGCGCGCGCGCGCGCGGCGGAGGGAGGCGTGCGCGCGCAGGGCGGAGGGAGGCGTGCGCGCGCGGCGGAGGGAGGCGTGCGCGCGCGGGCCGCCGGGCAGTAGGACCCGCCCGCCGGCCCGGCTCCGGCTCCGGCCTCGGCCTACCTGCGGCCCGCTGGGTCCGGGCGACGATGTACTTCCGAAGCTTGCGCACCGCGCGGTCCCGGGTCACCTGCTCGTTCCCCGCCAGGCGCTGCGCCAGCTGGATCTCGGGCGGGAGCTGCACTCGCGACACCATGGCGTCGGCGCGGGGCCAACGGGAGCCGACGCTCCGGCGCGCCGGTGACGTCACGCGCGCGGCGTCACAGGCCCGCGACGCCGCCGGCGTGCGCGCCACCGCCCCCCGCGGGGAGGCGCGCGGCTGAGGCCGCCTCGGGGCGCCGCCGCCCGCCCGAAGCCGCCGCCCGCCCGCCGCGGCCCTCGTCTAGCCGCCAGGAATGGCCTTGCTCCTCGGAGCGGAGAGGCCGCGGCCCGGCCTGCACACCTCCTTACGGACGGCGGCCTCGCTGCGCCTGAGAGCGGAGGATCGCGGTTCAAAGCCAGCCCGGGCAGGAAACGCCGTGAGACTCCTCACCGAACCACCAGAAAACCGGAAGTGGCGCCGTGGCTCAAGTGGTGGAGCGCTCGCCCGGAGCTGAAGCGCTGGGGGACGGCGCCAGGCCCGGAGTTCCGGCCCCGCGGCCGATGGGAGCGGCGGGGAGAGGGAGGGGAGAGATGCGCGACCCACGCACAGAGCGCGGGCAGACGGAGCTCCGCGCCGCGTGCCCCGCCGTGAGAGTCGCTGGGGGACGTAGCGAGGAGAGGCGAGACGGTGAGGCACGGAGCTCGGGCGGCGTGGGCCTGTTGAGGACGGCCCCGGGCTTGCTGAGCTGCCAGAAGTGCCCACAGGCTCTTTGTTACTGGACCCCGCTGGCCTCCGGCCGGGGCAGGCGACGGGAGACGGAGGACAGATTCGTGGGTGGAAGATGGGTGACCGTGGCTTGTGGCCAAATGAGCAAATCTGATCCTAATCAGCTTGTCAGGAGAGGCTTTTCAATTCAGGAATTGTCAGTTCTGGAAATCTTAAGGCTCATTATTAGTCATAACACAATTTTCCAGTTTTCATTTCTGCATATCAGAAGCAGATGAGGGGGAAATAGAAAAGTAGCTGCTGTTAACTCGTGTAGTTTTTAAATTTTTATTTTTGTTATTATAAAGGTGATGTTCAGACAAGTTATGTAAGTCAAGATAACGTTTGTTGGTTTTTTGTTTTTTTTTTTGGTCGGTCATGGGGCTTGAACTCTGGGACTGAGCGCTGTACCTCAGCTCAAGGCCAGCGCTCTACCACTTGGGCCACAGCATCACTTCTGGTTTTCTGGTGGTTTATTGGAGATCAGAGTCTCACGGCATTTCCTGAGCGGGCTGGCTTTGAACCATGATCCTCAAATCTCAGCCTCCTGAGTAGCTAGATCGACAGGCGTGAGGCACCGGTGCCGGGTTAATGAGTAATTTCTTTGTGGACAACGTCACCCCTTCCCTTGCTTTCTCCCAGCTTTTCTCTCCCATCCCAACCTACAAGTTGTATAGTTTATTTTCAACGTAGTGTCTAGTGAGTTACGGGATAGTGAGTCATTGGGATGTTTTCATCCACGTATACAATGTATTCCAACCAATCTCTATCATGTTCCCTATTCTACTTTCACTTTCTTTTTTGGGTCCGGTCATGGGGCCTGAACTCTGGGCCTGGGCGCTGTCCCTCAGCTCTTCAGCTCAAGGCCAGTGCTCTACCACTTGAGCCACAGCGCCACTTCCGGCTTTTTTCTTTTTGCTTATGTGGTGCTGAGGAATCAAACCCAGGGCCTCAGGCATGCAAGGCAAGCGCTCTACCACTGAACCACCTTCCCAGCCCCTCTTTCACTTTCTAAATCTTTTTTTTTTTTTTTTTTTTTCTGGTCCTGGGGTTTGAACTATAGGCCTGGGTGCAGTACCTGAGCTTCTTTTGCTCAAAGCAAGTGTTCTACCACAGCACCACTCCTGGCTTTTTGAGTAGTTTCTTGGAGATAAGAGTCTTTCCTTCCCAGGCTGGCTTGGAACCGTGATCCTTAGATCTCAGCTTCCTATGTAGCCAGGGTCACAGGTCTAAGCCACCAGCACCTAGCTCCTAAAACAATTTCAATAGGTATAAGGCATTTTCACACATGAAAACACTTCAGCTGCCGGGCGCCGGTGGCTCACGTCTGTCATCCTAGCTACTCAGGAGGCTGAGATCTGAGGATCTCGGTTCAAAGCCAGCCCGGGCAGGGTATCTCGAATTAACCACCAGAAAACCAGAAGTGGTGCTGTGGCTCAAGAGGTAGAGTGCTCGCCTTGAGCTGAAGAACGCAGGAATAGTCCAGAGTTCAAGCCCCACAACCAACCAAAAGAAAAAGAAAACAAAAAGGGGAACACCTCAGCCATGTTCATCCAGCAGTTTTTTGTGCCACACTGGGGCAGTTGATTTCTGGGTACACCTGCTATACAAGATCCTGACTCAGGCTGTGTGGCCATATCTTCTAACGCCCTGGGTGGAAAGTCCCTGGAAGTCAGGTTGCTGCTTGTTGGAGCTGTAGGAGGGGAACACCTGTGGAGGCAGACAAAGGCCACCTCAGTAAGAATGGGCAAGGCTGTTTACTGCGGGCTAGCTGTGGGCAAAAGCTGAGACGGGCAGGGGAGGGGAAGCTGCCTGCCAGCTCTCGTCCCGGGCCAAGACTTCAAAAGTAAAACGGCCAGGCTGCCAACGGCAGGGCGCGTGCCTAGCATGCATGAAGCCCAGGTTGGATTCCTCAGTACCACATACACAGAAAAGGCTGGAAATGGAGCTGGGGCTCAAGTGGTAGAGTGCTGGCCTTGAGCGAAAGGCAGCCTGGGGACAGCGCCCAGGCCCTGAGTTCAAGCCCCGAGACTGGCAAAAATAAATAAATGGTCAATTCAAGGATCTTTTTTTTTTTTTTTTTTTGGTTGGTCAGTCGTGGGGCTTGAACTCTGGGCCTGGGCGCTGTCCCTCGGCCCTTCAGCTCAAGGTGAGCTCCACCACTTGAGCCACAGCACCACTTCCGGTTTTCTGGTGGTTTATTGGAGATCGGAGTCTTCACGGTCTCTCCTGCCTGAGCTGGCTTTGAACCGCGATCCTCAGATCTCAGCCTCCTGAGTAGCTGGGCTAACAGGCGTGAGCCACCGGTGCCCGGCTCCAAGTTACCTTAAGGAAAATGAATGCCCGGACAGATGTGTGTCAGAATGACCATCACGGAGTTTCGAAGCAGCTTCCCTGCCCAGCGTCCACCCACAGCCGCTGGAAACCAGCAGGGGTCGGAGGCGGGGGGGGGGGGGGGGGGGGGGGGGGGGGGGGAGGCAAGCTACAGGCGCTCACGGGTAAGAGGACAGCAGGCCGGCCCCGGCCCCCGGCCCCCCGCGCCCGCTGCTAACCGTGGTCGGCTGTGGATGCGGAGTACGCCTGCGCGGGACCGTGGGTCATGCTCCCCGAAAGCCACGTCTGCTGGGCCGTGCGGGGCTCGCCGAGCGAGGGAGGCCCGCCCTGGGCCCGGGCACACCGAGGGCCGCCGCCCCAGCGGGGAGCCGCCCCAGCGGGGAGCCGCCCGGGGCCGGATGCGCGGGCGGGCCACGCCCCTTCCGGGGCGGCCGCAGACGGCCCGCCCCCACGGAAGCCCCGCCCCGGGGCGCGGCCGGCAGGGGTCTTGTGGCACCGCGTCCCCGCGCCCCTGTCACGGGTTCTGCTCCGCCCGGGTCTGAGTCCGCGCCGCCGCCCGCCGCCGCCATGATGATGTGCGGAGCGCCCTCCGCCACCCGGCCGGCCACCGCCGAGACCCAGAAGCTCGCCGACCAGGTGAGCGAGGCCGGGGCGGACGCTCGCCCTGCGCTCCCGGCCCGCGCCGGCCGGGAAGCCGCTCCGCCCGGCGCCTCCGCCGGGGTCGGTGGGGCCCCGGCTCCGCACGCGGGGCTCCCGTGGCCCGGCTGCGCCAAGGGCCCGGGAGACGGGGTGGGGGAGGGAGAGGACGGACGGACGGACGGTCGGTCTCAGGCAGAGGTATCGCGGGAGTCCTCTGCTGTGCTTACTCTACAAATCCCCTCCAAACGCAAGCCTGAACCCCAGCACCTGGGAATCTGACGCGGGAGATCCAGAAACCCAGGGCAGCCGAGCTACAGGAGAGACCTTGTCTCTAGATGAGTAAGAAGGCCGGGCAGGTGGCTCACGCCTGTCAGCCTAGCTACGCAGGAGGCTGAGATCTGAGGATCGCGGTTCAAAGCCAGCCCGGGCAGGAAAGTTCGCGAGACTCTTATCTCCAATAAACCGCTAGAAAACTGGAAGTGGCGCTGTGGCTCAAGTGGTGGAGCTCGCCTTGAGCTGAAGAGCTGAGGGACAGCGCCCAGGCCCAGAGTTCAAGCCCCACGACAAAAAAAAATCAAGATGAGTAAGAAAGATAGGACAGGCTGGGTGTGTGGCAGCGTGGAGGAACGTCTGCTTTCACAGAGTTAAAAACAAATAACTGAAAAGACAAAACCAGGCCAGACTGCAGAACCAGGTTCTGCCTCAGTTTCCCCATTTGCAACACAGTGTCCTTACAGGTTGGATAAGTGGAAGGGGCTAGCAAGAGTTCCCAGAGTCAGCATACCACACTCCCTGTGATACTGTTGATTAACAAGGTTGAGATTCTCAGGCTGGGAAGGTGGCTTAGTGGTAGAGCGCTTGTCTAGCATGCATGAAGCCCTGGGTTCCATTCCTCAGTACTACACAGAAAAAGCCAGAAGTGGCACTGTGGCTCAAGTGGTAGAGTGCTAGCTTTGAGCAAAAGAGGCTCAGGGACAGTGCCCACACCCTGAGTTCAAGCCACATCACTGGCAAAAAATAAAATTAAATGTAAAAAACGAAAGCCAGGCCCACCAGTGGCCTATAGCAGCTACTCAGGAGGCTGAGACCTGAGGATCTTGAAGTTGATCATCTCCTCAAAGACAAAGATTCTAGAAAACAGAACTGGGTCAAAAATAAGTTTACTGTTTGATTCAGAGTGAGTCAGCCTCTCTGTTGTAAAGAAGCCACCCCTCCCACCCCTACACATCCTGCCCACAAAGATCAACCTGCACACTGTGTCATTGGAGGTAAGAGTCTCACAGACTTTCCTACCTAGGCTGGCTTTGAACCAAGATCCTTAGATCGCAGCCTCATGAATAACTAGGATTATCGGTGTGGGCCACCAGCACCCAGCTTGAGATGCAGCTTTGAAAGGTGAAAGCTAAGAGTGTAGGTCAGTGGTAGAGCATGTGCTTTGAATGTACAAGGGTTTGGATTCAATCCCTGACACAAAAAACCTAAGCTGGACACCAATAGCTCACATCTATACCCTCCCTACTTAGGAGGCTGAGATTTGAGGATCATGGTTCAAAGCCAGCCTCAGCAGCAAAGTCTATGAAACTCTCCAATAAACTCCCAAAAAAGCTAGAGGTGGAACAGTAGCTCAAGTGGTAGAGCATTAGCCTTAAGCAAGAAAAGCTCAGGAACAGCACCTGAGCCCTGAGTTCAAACTGGCACCACACATTCACACAAAAGATGAGTTAAAAATGATACTCAGTGGGCTGGGAAAGTGGCTTAGTAGTAGAGTGCTTGCCTAGCATGCATGAAGCCCTGGGTTCAATTCCTCAGTACCACATTCATAGAAAAGGCCGGAAGTGGCGCTGTGGCTCAAAAAGTGGTACACAGTTCCAAATAAACTGCATGGTAAGTGAAAAAACACCAGTTGTACAGTGATAGTGTAAGAGAAAGGGTGAAGAACTAGTGGCACTAAACTTGGGTAGAACAGACATCTGTGGCTCACGCCTGTAATCATAGCTACTGAGGATGTGGAGATTGAGGATCGCTGTTGGAAGCCAGCCAGGGCAAGAAAGACCGTGAGACTATCCCCAGTTAACCACCAAAAAGCCAAAGTGGAGCAGTAGCTCAAGTGGCAGTGCCAGCCTTGAGAGCAAAGCGCAGGGCCAGCGCCTGTGGAGGTGGAACTGGGAGGGGCCTGTTTGTCCTCCGTTGCTGTCGCTGCGGGGACACTGAGTCCCAGTCCTTGTCCTTCCACGCCCCCCAGGTGAAACAAGAGCTGGAAGAGAAAGAAAACCGCAAGTTCTCCGTTTTCAAAGCTCTGTCTTTCAAAAGCCAGGTGGTGTCAGGGACGAACTACTTCATCAAGGTGGGTCTGGGGTTCTGGCCTGCCCTGGAGTGTGGTGCTCCAGGCCTGGTGCCCATAGGCACTGTCCTTACAGGAGGAGCTGGGCGTTGCTGGGCCCCGCTGGGCCCGGGGTGGGTGAGCTGCGCTGCACAGCGCACCGGCTTCCCGGGCAGGAGTGCCGTTACAGCTGAGCAGAGGTCTGTGGCAGCGGCCTCAGCCCTCCCAGGACTGAGACTCCTCTGCACCTGTCTCCCACCAGGTTGACGTGGGGGGTGAAGAATTTGTGCACTTGAAGGTGTTCCAGAGCCTGCCTCATGAAAACAAGCCCCCAGCCTTGTCTGCCTACCAGAGCAACAAGAGCCAGCAGGATGAGCTGGCCTATTTCTAGTGCCACCACGCCAGGGGACCAGAAGGAAGTGTCAGGGTTGACCTCTGGGGTGCGGGCACCTGGCTGAGCAGCGTCTCTTACTTCTGTCCTGTCCTCAATTTCACTATTGATTTTCTTTCTCACAGTTAACGATCGTTATTTTCAAAGTCAAATATATTTTTTAAAGTCAATACTGCCTTTTCTTGGGGGGAGTGGAGTAGGAGTCTGCACAGGGCTTGAACTCAGGGTCTGGGTGCTGTCTCTGAGCTTTTCTGCTCAAAGCTAGAGCTCCACCACTAAGCCACAGGTCTACTTCCAGCTTTTTGGTGGTTAGTTGGATACTTTCCTTCCTGGGCTGGTTCTGAACCACCATTCTCAGGTCTCGCCGCTCCAGTAGCTTGGATTACAGGCGTGAGCCACCAGTGCCCAGCCTGTCTTCTTTATCTTGGAATTTCTTTTTGCCTTCATCTGAAGTCGGGGTGGCCCCTGGCACCGCCCAAGGCCTGCCAGCGGCCTCTGCTGCCTGGGAAGGAGGAGGCCGTCCCTGGCAGGAGCAAGTGCCAGTCAGGGGCTGCCCAGGCTCCTCAGGCTGGCACCGCCGGGCGGCGGGCCCAGGCCCCCAGCCCGGCCTCACCCTCCCCACCACGCACCACCTCCCGCACTGTGTGTCCATTCCCACTCTGGCCACTCGAGGTGGCCCAGAGAGCTAAGGGTGTCCTCATGGCTGGGGGAGAACCGGGCGAGGCCACCACAGCCTCCGGCACTGTCTACCCGCCCTCTGGGAGGGCTGCTGCAGGGCAGGCTGGGGGGCTGGGGAGGCTGGGTTCTCCACAGCTGGTCACCGGTAGAACCAGATGCACTTGGTGCAAGAGAAAACTGCAGGCCTGGTCCTGTCCCGGCCGCCCCTGGCTGGGCATAGCTCAGGACACCATCTCTCCTGCCCGGGCTCCCTCCCTTCCCGTAGCTGAGTGCCAGGCTGAGCAGAGCTGCACGAGTCACCCGTGGCTTCCACCGCTGGAGCCAGAGTGCCTCCTTCCCCACCGTGACGACCCCTGCACCCTGTGAGGCGCAAGCTCATCCACCAGCGTCGGTCAGACGCCCATTCAAAGAGGTGCTTCCCGCCTCGTGGGCAGCAGGTGTGCCCATATAGCCAGGTGGCGCTCTGGGCAGGCCAGACCCCGGGGAGTGGGCCCGGCAGGGGTGCCAGCAGGTCCGCTCACCTGTGGCGTGCCGTGTACGGCACCCCTGTGCCTCTGTACAGGACAGGCAAGCTCCCCACTTCTGGGGGGCAGCTGCCTGGCCTAGTATGGGAAGGGGCCAAGAGGAGCTGCCCCCCTCCCCCCTTGGCAGTGGGCGCCGCCCTCCCCCCCAGGACCAAGTCATCAAAGAGCAGGGGTGCCCAGGCCACTCTTGCCTGGCACCACCCTGGGCTCTGGGGCCAGGAATGCAGCCCAGTGGACGCAGCCCAAATGCACAGGCCCGCTGGAGCACACCCAGGGGCCTCAGGGCCCCGGGAAGGCTGCTGGGCCCTGGCGGGACGAGGCTGGGGCTCGGCTAGGAGACACCCGGCACCGGCAGGTGCTGTAGACGCCCTCACTGGCAGCTGACGGCCACGTCCAGGAACCGCTGGGTCAGAGGCCTGTGGAGCAGCCCTCGTCCAGGCTCGCAGGTCAGGCGGGCAGCGTCCTGTCCGGGGCATCGTCGGTCACCAGTGGAGCCTGTGACCTGCCTCCCATCAAGTTCCACGTTCCTTTGGATTGAGTCCAGCCGGGGACCGGGGGCGCCACAGAGGGAGGCGGGCTGCAGGGGAGCCTAGTGTGCGCCAAGGAGCGCAGGCGGCAGCCAGGTGCCAAGGGCTGCTGTGCCCGCCCCCCCAGTCCATCTGGAATTGTATGAGTCTGCACAGCTGCCACAGGACCCTTACCTGTGAGGGTGGTGGCTGCAGCCAGGCTACTGCAACTGCTGTGTCCAGTAGCACTGCAAGTGGCTAGGCAGCAGCCACACCCCGCCCGCCCATCCATCCATCCATCCATCGGGTCCATCCGTCCTCACGCAGGGCACCCAGCACCCCCGCTGAGCGCCAGCGTCCCTGCCTAGCAGCCATGCTGTTGGACTGCTGAGGCTTCCCGCAGGAAGGCGTGGGTGAGTTCTCAGACCATGTATCCACAGCCAAGAGCAACACAATGTCGCCACCCAGTCATGCTGCAACTCTGAAACCCTAGCTACTCACAAGCATGAGATCTGAGCATCATAGTTTGAAGCCAGCCTGGGCAGGAAAGTCTGTGAGACTCTTATCTCCAATGAACTACCTAGAGCAGGACATGGAGCTGTGGCTCAAGTGATAGAGCACTAATCTTGAGCACAGAAGCTCAGGGACAGTGCCCAGGCCCTGACGTCAAGCCCCAACTGGCACACGCGTGTGTACACACGTGCGCGTGCGTGCGCACACGACAGGAGGCTGGCCCTCAGAACCTCGCAGGGTGGGGCTGGGAAGGTGCCCCACTTCTCTCATCCCCGTTACCTCCCCACCCCCAGCGCCCAGGCTCTCCCACATCCGGGAGACCCACCCTCTTCCCTCATGGTGGTAACAATGGCTGGTTTGGAGAGAGTTCCAAGGGAGCAAGAAATCACCATGCCTAGCTGAGCACTGGTGATTCATGCCTGTCATCCTAGCCACTCAGGAGGCTGAGGTCTGAGGATCACAGTTCAAAGCCAGCCCCGGCAGGAACGCCATGAGACTCTTATCTCCAATAAACCAGTCAAAAACCCAAAGTGGCGCTGTGAGTCAAGTGGTAGAGTGCTAGCCTTGAGCTGAAGAGCTGAGGGACAGCGCCTAGGTCAAGTTCAAGCCCCACGATCAACAACAACAACAAAAAAATCACCATGCCAACACAACTGCCATGAAAATATTTATTTGTGGATAATCACGAAAGTCAACAGGACCATCACAAAACAGACACGATCTCCACGGGCTCACAGCGCCCGAGTTTACGAACCCCACACAGGACAGCGCACAGAGTTGGGAGACACTGGCGCAGAGGCCACCTGCGTGCGCCCACAGGGGGGCAGGGCCTGGCGCCCCTCCCAGGAGGCCCGCCAAGACCTGCCAGCACCCGGGCCTGTGGCAGCAGCGCCAGCTTCCCGCTGGTTTAGTTGTGCAATAATTGGACTAAACTCCAACTACAGGTCTACACTAGGAATGAAGCAGCTATGAGGCCCGAAGCAGTCAGTGTCCTTGCACACTTCACGCTTCTGGGGGCTGTGCGAAACACAAGGAGAATTCACTCCCCTGCCAGAGCGGCTGAGCTCATCGGGACCGTGGCTTCAGGAACTTGGTGTCTCCCTGACCACAGCTGGGGGTGGCTTTGTCTCTGCCTTCCTGCCACTCAGACACCCTGGGACGCTGCTGGCCCAGTGAATCATTTTTCTGTTCCGCTGGCCCCAAGCTGCCCCTCCCCAGCCCCGGATCAGGCACGGGGAGCTCCGGTCTCCCAGCGGAGCGCGAGGGCACCGCCGCCCGCCCAGGACAGCGCAGCTCCGTGGGCAGACAGAGCAGTGCGGCTGGGCTGGGGCCACGCTGTCCTCTGTTCCCACCCACCTCTCCTTCTGCCTTCACTGCTATTTCAGAAGCGGCCTGCGGGGTGGTGACGCACCTCCAGCCAGGGCACTGGCCCCAGGGCCTCCAGAATTTCCTACCCCAAGTGGGTGGCCTATTCCAGGAAGATGGGGAAGTGCCCTGTGGGGGGGTGCGGGGAGGGGCACGGCACGGCTCCAGGCTTCATCATGACTCTGCATTGGGGGCCCGCCCCTTCCTCACAGCCCAGGCCAGGGCTGAGATGGAACCAGAACCTGTTCTAGGAACACAGCCTGGCACAGACTGTGGAGAACACTAAAACCCTGCCCGTTCTGCCAGACGCTAAAATGAAAAGCAACAGGGAAAACGACTCTTTTGAGTATGTAGCCAAAGCGGGCCTTGAATGTTGAATCCTCCTCCCTTGGTCTCCCAAGCACTGGGATTACAGGGGTGTGTGCCCGAATCTGGAAACAGCTTTCAGTTAGTAAAAAAAAAAAACAACAACTTTGAAATGCTAAAGTAACTCATAATAGTTTTGAACAAATAAACAGAGTTGTCCTGAAGGCGAACTATCGAGTAGAAGACATTACTTTTAGTTGGTCTTTGCACATTTAGAACAGAAATATCTTCACCAAGAACAGACTGCAGCCAACAGCGAAACCCACACACACCACCAAGCCCCACACCCAGCTGCCACGGAGGAAGACGGAGGCCCGGCCTCTTCACGGGGGGCAGGGCGAGACCGCAAGCCTAGCTCCCACCCAACGGAGAAAGATTGTGCTCCGAAGAACAAGTGGTAACAGGTTCTCCCTCCAGAGGGGCTCTGCTGTTTTACTCATCGGCCTGGAGGACCACAGGGACTGGCCTCACCGCGACCTCTGCTGGTGGGGGCCAGAACTGCACCGCTGGTGGCAGAAGCACCAGAGCCTGCAGGCCAGCGTGGCCTGTTGGACACCTCTCCACACTGAAGCAGGCACACCGAGTCCCACCACAGCCCCAACGCCCTCCACCGCCACCTGCGGAGCCAAACAGCGCTCCCCGACCCGGCCCTCCGCTAGGGGACTCAGGGCTTAAGAAGGCCCTCGGGCAGTGCTCCTGGGCAGCTGGCCTGTGGTATCCACAGCCTGACATGCTCCTTTGACAGAAAGGCTTCCTGGGACTCGCACACAGCTGCAGGGAAGGGCAGGAGGGAGGCCCTGGGGCCTGGCAGCAAAGAAGCCGGGGTGGAGGCCCCAGCAGCCGCACCCTGCGGACGGCAGTGGGCGGGGGCCGTGGGCCCCGCCAGGGCTTCCCAAGACACTACCCCAGTCATGTCTCAAACTCCAGAGCCCCCCTCTGGGGCTAAGCACGTGCTTAGGGTTCTGAGCAGGTCCCTGCTGGGCAAGGAGGCTGCCAGAATGGCTGGGAGCGGGAGGGGGAGGGGCTCCTCCTCCGCAGTCCAGCCTGGTGACACAGGGGCCTGTGGACCCCGGCAGCCCCAGGCCCCACTCAGCTCGGTGGCCTCCACCACAACCAAGTTTAAAACCTGGCTCTGACAAGCTTAAGAAAAGGACACAAAGCAAAGCACTCTCCGCACAATCCCTAACTTACACTACAAAAATAAGAGGCACGAGTTACCTTGAGGACTAAGCAAGACTCATGGATCTTCTTTAAAGTAGGCCTTCTCAGTTTCAACAGCTGGTTAAGGAAGGATGGAGTGCTTTCCGCTAAGGAAGCGGCTGCCCGCGCCCTCGCCTCCTGGAGCTTCTCTGACTTGCTAGCTTGTGTTACCGCACCCATCTGGAGCCACGCCAGGTCCACAGCCACCTTCAAGGGACCCTCGACCCCAGGCTGGGGCACCAGGGTCCCGAGACCTGCACAGCTCAGGTCTGCTTTCTGGGCAGGGACTTAGGACCTCACACACACGGGACGAACGTTCAGCACAGTGCCTCCCACTTCCCCTCGCTGCAGCGCCGTCCCCGGCTTGAGTCAGGAAACCGCGCCGCGCGGCACGGCCCGGGACCCTTCCCCACCTCCCTGGAGATGTACACAGGCACTGCCCCCAGGCCTGTGCTTGGGGTAGGGGATGTCCCTCACCCATCACCAGTGGCCACATGCCACCCTGGCCACTGCGTGGTGGTGGAAGGCCCCACGGAGGCGCAGGTGACTGCGGGCAGGAAACACAGGTCTGCTCTGCTTGGCAGCAGGGAACCAGCCAGCCGCAGCCAAGAAGTGTGGACCCTGTGCATTCAGACGCCCAGGGGGCGCGGTCATGGGGGGAGGAGTGGGGCCGGGCCCCCAGGGACCAGCGCCTCCTTGCGTGTGCCACTTCAGATGCCAGATAAGATTCTCCGTTCTTGCAGTGCTGCAAACAGAACCCAGGCCCTCACTGAACCCTGCCCTGGGCCGAGCCATACCCAGCCTGCTCCGTTCTTCACCTGGTGAGGCCGACTCCAGTGGGAAGGATACTTCTGAAGGAAGCAGATTTCCTAGGACCCGGGCATAGGGCTGTGGGGTGGGGGCAGGCCAGAGCCAGGAAGTCCCACTTGTGGCCATGCCTGGTCCCACTGAGCAGTGGACAGCTGGACTTGTGTTCAGTGTACACTATAGCCTTCAATGTCACAGCCTACTCTGGGGTCTGGCGCTGCCCCACCCCAGGGTGACACATGTGCCCTTGGAAGACTCCTGAGGGGAGGAGTTGGCAGTGAGGGCCGCTGGCCCGGCACAGGACACACACGGGCTGGGAGTGAAGTCCGCCACGCGGGCAGACGCCTCCTCCGCCTCCCTGCGGTCTACACACGCAGCGCCTCCACTCGACAACCGCAAGGCAGACTGGGAGCGTTTGGACAAAAACCAAACGTGGCTCCTCACGTCTCAAACCACCTGAGCAGCAGCAGCACCCTGTGCACGGGGTGTGCGAAGGCGGACGCACTGACCAACCTGTCCTCACAGGGCCCGCCTGGCGGACCGCACGTCCCAGAGACCCGGGGAGCAGCAATGAAGACGCGAGAATTGCAGCGGGCACAGGACAGGAGACCGGGGTGACAATACAGGTATCTGGCGATCTCAGAGCCAACGGCCCAACACAAGGCCCCCCGGACGGCAGGCGTGGGTGCCCGCGGGACCCTGAGCTGGTCCACACACGGCTGGGGCAGAGACAGGTTTCCAAATCACAAATTTCTATGACAGCTTTGTGGGTTTTTGGAAGAGCACAGCGGCACGTTTTCACAATTGGGACTAGCGGAGACCCGACACTCATGAAGGAACAATGTCAAGTTTAGGTCGTGGCTCTAAGGCAGACGTCAGGTGTTTTTCACAGGGATGAACATGAAGACACGGCCGCGCTGTGCGTCCGAGCGCAGCCCTCACAGCACCGTGGCCTGCACAACGATCTCGGGGTCCTCGATGTCCTTCTTGCTCTGGACCATTCTCAGCTCCAGCTCCGCCGGCCTGGGCTTCTGCCCTTCCCCAGCCTGAGCTTCAGGGTGCACAAGGAGTAGAGGGCACCGCTGGGAAGCCGGTGGGACATCAGCCCTCCTCCCTTCCCGTCAAGCCCCTTCTCCCTGAACTCCCCAACTGGAAGGGCTCTACACCTCCCCCACACAACCCTAACAGCAGGGGGGAGGGCAGAGGGCCAAGGGCGGGGGAGGGCAGGGCCTGGGCGGTACCTTGTGCATACTGCATGGTCCTCTGCAGAACGTGGTGCATGGCAGATACAGTCTTCTCACAGGCCACCTGCAGGAGGAGAGACGCTGTGCGCCGGCCTACCTGCTCTGCTCCTGGATGCCAGCCAGGGGGCCGAGGAGGAGCCGTCCACGGTCACACTGTGCCAGGGCCGGGGATGGCCGCCACAGGACAGTCCTCCACAAAGATGCCGGCTGCTATAGGACTTTTGTTGTTGTTGTTGCTTTTGTGGGGAGGGTCAGTTGTGGGACTTGAACTCAGGGCCTGAGCACTGTCCCTGAGCTTCTTAGTACTCAAAGCTAGTGTTCTACCACTTGAGCCACAGCGCCACTTCTGGCTTTTTTCTTATGTGGTGCTGAGGAATCGAACCCAGGGCCTCATGCATGCAAGGCAAGCACTCTACCACTGAGCCACCTTCCCAGCCCCAAGGCTGGCTTTTTTCAAACCTAGATCCTCAGATCTCGGCCTCCTGAGTAGCTAGTTTTGATGTAGAATGTACCCTGAGGTCCACAAGTCTTAGCCCTCAGGTCATTGGGGCAAGTACCCTCTAAGGGGTTTCCTGTTTCCTGACCACCCAAAGGTGAACAGCTTCCTGTCCCATGTGTCCATGCCATAACACACTGCCCCAAAGCAACAGGGACAGCGAGGACTGGCCAAACCCTGCCCTTCTTCAAGCACATTATCTCGGGTATTTATTCTGTTCCAGTAACAGAGAGCTAAGTGCCATGTTAAGCACTGGGCAGGTATGTGTGCCGGGCAGGTGTGAGCACCGCATGCTGAGCACCGGGCAGGTGTGAGTGCCGGGCAGGTGTGCGCACCACACCCTGAGCACCCGGCAGGTGTGAGCGCCGGGCAGGTGTGTGCACCACACGCAGAGCACCGGGCAGGTGTGCACGCCGGGCAGGTGTGAGCACCACACGCAGAGCGCCGGGCAGGTGTGCACGCCGGGCAGGTGTGAGCACCACACCCTGAGCACCGGGCAGGTGTGAGCACCACACGCAGAGCGCCGGGCAGGTGTGCACGCCGGGCAGGTGTGAGCACCACACGCAGAGCACCGGGCAGGTGTGCACGCCGGGCAGGTGTGAGCACCACACGCAGAGCGCCGGGCAGGTGTGCGCGCCGGGCAGGTGTGCGCACCACACCCTGAGCACCGGGCAGGTGTGAGCACCACACGCAGAGCACCGGGCAGGTGTGAGCGCCGGGCAGGTGTGCGCACCACACCCTGAGCACCCGGCAGGTGTGAGCACCACACGCAGAGCACCGGGCAGGTGTGAGCGCCGGGCAGGTGTGTGCACCACACGCAGAGCGCCGGGCAGGTGTGAGCGCCGGGCAGGTGTGTGCACCACACGCAGAGCGCCGGGCAGGTGTGAGCACCACACGCAGAGCGCCGGGCAGGTGTGAGCGCCGGGCAGGTGTGCGCACCACACCCTGAGCACCGGGCAGGTGTGAGCACCACACGCAGAGCACCGGGCAGGTGTGAGCGCCGGGCAGGTGTGTGCACCACACGCAGAGCGCCGAGCAGGTGTGAGCGCCGGGCAGGTGTGTGCACCACACGCAGAGCGCCGGGCAGGTGTGAGCACCACACGCAGAGCGCCGGGCAGGTGTGAGCACCACACGCAGAGCGCCGGGCAGGTGTGAGCACCACACGCAGAGCGCCGGGCAGGTGTGAGCACCACACGCAGAGCGCCGGGCAGGTGTGAGCACCACACGCAGAGCGCCGGGCAGGTGTGCGTGCCGGGCAGGTGTGAGCACCACACGCTGAGCACCGGGCAGGTGTGTGTGCCGGGCAGGTGTGAGCACCATACGCAGAGCGCCGGGCAGGTGTGAGCGCCGGGCAGGTGTGTGCACCACACGCAGAGCACCGGGCAGGGGTGAGCGCCGGGCAGGTGTGTGCACCACACGCAGAGCGCCGGGCAGGTGTGAGCACCACACGCAGAGCGCCGGGCAGGTGTGAGTGCCAGGCAGGTGTGCGCACCACACCCTGAGCACCGGGCAGGTGTGAGCACCACACGCAGAGCACCGGGCAGGTGTGAGCGCCGGGCAGGTGTGTGCACCACACGCAGAGCACCGGGCAGGTGTGAGCACCACACGCAGAGCACCGGGCAGGTGTGCGCGCCGGGCAGGTGTGAGCACCACACGCTGAGCACCGGGCAGGTGTGCGCACCGGGCAGGTGTGAGCACCACATGCAGAGCACCGGGCAGGTGTGCGCGCCGGGCAGGTGTGAACACCACACGCTGAGCACCGGGCAGGTGTGTGTGCCGGGCAGGTGTGAGCACCACACGCTGAGCGCCGGGCAGATGTGAGCACCACACGCAGAGCACCGGGCAGGTGTGAGCGCCGGGCAGGTGTGCGCACCACACCCTGAGCACCCGGCAGGTGTGAGCACCACACGCAGAGCACCGGGCAGGTGTGAGCGCCGGGCAGGTGTGTGCACCACACGCAGAGCGCCGGGCAGGTGTGAGCACCACACGCAGAGCGCCGGGCAGGTGTGAGCGCCGGGCAGGTGTGCGCACCACACCCTGGGCACCGGGCTGGTGTGAGCACCACACGCAGAGCACCGGGCTGGTGTGAGCGCCGGGCAGGTGTGTGCACCACACGCAGAGCACCAGGCAGGTGTGAGCACCACATGCAGAGCACCGGGCAGGTGTGCACGCCGGGCAGGTGTGAGCACCACACGCTGAGCACCGGGCAGGTGTGTGCGCCGGGCAGGTGTGAGCACCACACGCAGAGCACCGGGCAGGTGTGCGCGCCGGGCAGGTGTGAGCACCACACGCTGAGCACCGGGCAGGTGTGTGTGCCGGGCAGGTGTGAGCACCACACGCTGAGCACCGGGCAGGTGTGCGCGCCGGGCAGGTGTGAACACCACACGCAGAGCACCGGGCAGGTGTGAGCGCCGGGCAGGTGTGCGCACCACACCCTGAGCACCGGGCAGGTGTGCGCGCCGGGCAGGTGTGAGCACCACACGCTGAGCACCAGGCAGGTGTGTGTGCGCCAGGCAGGTGTGAGCACTGGGCAGGTGTGAGCGCCAGGGAGGTGTGAACACTGGGCAGGTGTATGTGCCAGGCAGGTGTGCGTGCCAGGCAGGTGTGCACGCCAGGCAAGTGTGTATGCGCCAGGCAGGTGTGCACACCAGGCAGGTATGCACGCCAGGCAGGTGTGCGCGCCAGGCAGGTGTGAGCACCGGGCAATTGTGAGTGCTGGGCAGGTGTGCGGGCCAGGCAGGTGTGAGCGCCAGGCAGGTGTGAGCACCGGGCAAGTGTGAGTGCTGGACAGGTGTGAGTGCCGGACAGGTGTGCGCACCATGCAAGTGTGAGTGCTGGGCAGGTGTGTGCGCCAGGCAGGTGTGTGCACCAGGCAGGTGTGCGCGCCAGGCAGGTGTGAGCACTGGGCAAGTGTGAGTGCTGGGCAGGTGTGCGCGCCAGGCAGGTGTGAGCACTGGGCAGGTGTATGCGCCAGGCAGGTGTGTGCACCAGGCAGGTGTGCACGCCAGGCAGGTGTGTATGTGCCAGGCAGGTGTGCACGCCAGGCAGGTGTGCATGCCAGGCAGGTGTGAGCACCGGGCAAGTGTGAGTGCTGGGCAGGTGTGCAGCAGTGAAGTCACCACCTCCCTCCAGACCACACGCGCCTCACAGGAAAAAGCTGTTATCTCAGGACTTTGTTAACCTTGCAGAGTCCCAGGTTTAAAAAAAAAGCCAGACTGGAGGCATGGCTCAAATGGAAGAGCACCTGACAAGTCTGACAAGCACAGGGTCCTGCATTCAAACCTCAGTACAAAGAAATAAATAAAGCGCCAGGAGCTGGTGGCTCACTCCTGTCATCATGGCTACTCAGGAGGCTGAGATCTGAGGATCTTGGTTCAAAGATCCTCAGCCTGGGCAGGAAAATGCATGAGAGTCTTAGCTCCAATTAACCACAGAAAACCAGAAGTGGTGCTATGGCTCAAGTGGTAGAGTGCTCGCCTTGAGCTGAAGAGCAAAGGGACAGTGCCCAGGCCCAGAGTTCAAGCCCCATGACCGACAGAAAACAAACAAAAAGTTCCCAGGATTAACTGTTTACAAAGACGCTCAGCAAGGAGTGTGACCTGCCAGCCAGAGCACTCCGTTCAAACCCCCAGACCCTCAAAGGAAAGGTTCTGTATGGGAAAGACCTAGCAACTCAAGGCTTAGGAGGCTCAGCAAGTGCACAACACTGAACCTGAGTCAAAGGCTTGGGACTGTGAAGTAAGAACTCCTCTGGGCAAGCCTCCGCTAGCCCTGGCAGCCAGCTACACCCCACAGGTGTGGCTCAGCCTCTGCCCGAGGGAGGAAGGAGGGGCGGTATGGTGAGGAAATCCCACATTCCAGCCTCCCGGTCAGGACTGCAGTGGGCCTGGTGCACAAAGACCACAGTGACTCCTTCATTTTACAAATAAGGAGCCAAAGACAGCTGGTCTACCTGCCGGGAAGGGAGCGCCACACAAGGGCAGGGCCAGGGACCACTTTCAGGCCCCCACTTCTGATTCGTCCCTCCTAGAGTGAGCAGGGACAGTGAATGGAACAGGGCACAGGTGCACAATTGCACACTCTACCACACCCTGGGCCAGTCCAATCCTGTTATCAACCATCCCCTGTCAGCTGACGGCGCCTCCCTCACAAACCACCTGATAAGCGGTCAGGACACCACTGCTCTGCAGGAGTCAAAGAACCAAGGGGCACAGCAGCAAGCATCCCAGCGCCAGGAGCTTACCTGGGCTGCCCCTCCCGGCCACGGCGCAGCTGGCCCAGTCTGCGCCTAAGCAAAGCCTCTGTGTCTGTGGAAGCGCGTGCACTGTGTGGACAGACAGCTCCATGCTAAGGCCACACGCCCTGTCTGCCCACCCCCACCCTCGGGCCGGCTGCCAGCGAACACACTGGGATTGGATGCCTTTCCGGGTGTGTGTCCCGGGTCACTAGGGATGAAGCAGGGGAACCGCACCAGGCTCGGTTGGGCTCCTCCCTGACTGGCTTTTTGTGTGTGAGTGTGGTACTGGGGCTTGAACTCAGGACCCCACGTTCTTACCTGACTCTTTCACTCAAGGCTGGCGCTTTAGCACTGGAGCCCAGCTCCACTTTTGGCTTTTTAGTAGTTAATTGAAGATAAGCCTCATGGAATTTTCTGTTCAGGCTGGCTTTGAACTGAGGTATCAGACCTCAGCCTTCTGTCTAGCTAGGTCACAGGCATGAGACACCAGTGGCCGGTTCTGAGCTTTTTCCAGAGGCACTGTGGACGAATCCAGGGCTCTGCACTTGTCAGGCAGGCGCTCTATCACCAAACCACATCTTTGGGCCCCGTGGGTCCCCAACACTGGCTTACCCCGGCCCAGCAGGCTTCTCACGTCCCTGCTTCCCCAACGGGAGGGGAGAGAGCGCAGTCCACCGGGCCGGTCTCCTCACCCTCTCTGGGGCCAGTGCTTGGACTCAGGGGTCGAGCCAAGCCTGTCCCCCTTCTTGCCCAGGGTGGCCGGGGCCGCTCAGGAGCTGCGAGTAGGCTGACCTTCAGGTTGTCCGGGTGCTTGTGCGTCCACGCAAGAAGCATGGCGGCAAAGAGGTCCCCGGTGCCCACGAAGACGGCATCCACCTTGCGCATCTCCATGCGGATCCGCTGGGTGGCCGTGGAGCCGTCGGGCCTCCCTGAGGACAAGGCAGCAGGTCACTGGCTGTGACTTGCCCCCTCCCCCACAGCCGCGGTAGCACGGGGGGCCCGGGGCAACCTCCTTCAGAGTCCTGGACCCCCAACTGCCACGTGTGGCCTGAGAGGATGGGAAAGCCTGGAACTGGAGCGGGTGGACTGCTGCCTGGATGTACTCAAGTGTGTGCGCGCGTGCCTGGGCACATACGTGTGTGCACACACACGTGACAGCTGCAGAGCAGGGAGATCACAGCTGCAGTGCCCACCAGGGCCAGTGGGTACAACCTGGAGGGCACTGTCTTACCACAAGACCCGCTGTCCTTCCTTGCCACTAACATCATTCAGTGAAAAGCAGTCCAAATGGTCTATTTTTGGCCAGTTCTGGACTTGAACTCAGGGCTGGGTGTAGTCCCTAAGCTTCTTTAACTTAAGGCTAATGCCCCACCCCTTGGACCGCAGCACCAGCTCCGGCTTATCCTGTGTGTGTGGTACTGAGGAATGGAACCCAGGGCTTCATGCATGCTGGGCGAGCACTCCTCCACCTCTGAGCCACCTTCCCAGCCCCATCCAGGTGGCTTTTGTGCAATCAAGCTACCCAGCCAAGCGTAAGGCTGCTTCCTGTGGGCGGGGCACAGGCCCAGCCCTGAGGCCTGGTCCACCTGAGCCGGTCTGTGCTGCCTCCCTGGCACAGGACAGGACGGGCAGTCAGGAGCCCGCATGGAGACGACGCAACCCTGGCAGCACCAGCACCCCCAGGCTCAGCGCAGGGTGCCCTGCAGGGTTCCCTGCAGGACCTGCTCTGACCTCTGACCCGACCTCCAACTCCTGTGAAATTAGCCATCTACTGAGAAAGACACGACTTCCCTTTGCCAAGCCCCAAACCAACCCTGGAGCTCAGAGGTCAGCGGTCCGGGCCGCGGGGCGGGCGCCGGCCCGGGGTGGTACTTACGCATCCTCTGGCTGCCCAGGGCGATCAGGTAGTCACTGCCCCGGGGGGCGGGCAGGTCAGAGCTGGTGATGACCACTGTGTCGGGGCCCATAGAGTGCAGCATGTCCATCACCTGCGGGGACGCAGGGCCTATCACACCGCGGCCACGCCCCCTCCGCCTCCACAGCTCCCTGTGGCTGGCCTGGTCACCCGCCGCAAGGGGGGCCGGGCGAGGCCACCAGACACAGCAGCCCGGGGCAGGCCCGAGACAGGACCGGGGGGAGTACTCAGAAAACCACCCCCGGCCAAGCCCACCCAGGACAACCAAGGCCCCATCTTCTGTTGGGGTCACTGAAACAGTGAAGGTGAAGAAGCCAGGAGCCCCTGCCAGCCTGGACAGGCCACACAGGGCCCCATGGGCCGGAGGACACCCCCTCACAGCAGGGCAGGCCGGCTGCCCAGCCACCGCAACAGAGACAACTTCTCTATCAGCTGGCTTTGGCCACCCTCTTGGAAGCCCGTGTCCTTCCTGAAGCCATTCAGAGTAGGGCCCCTAAGTGGGCACAGGGGCCACAGGCCGAGCCCAAGATGTGACTCTCTTTCTCCACCCCTCCCTCACACACACAGTGTCACGCACGACATGACATACAGTGGGCCCTAGGATTCTGTGGAGACGATGCGGAGCTCCACAGCGCCCAGCACACAGAAGGCCTCTGCAGATGCGTGGCTGCAGAGGCTGACCCAGCCCCTCAGACGCGACTCAGACAAGGCCACAGCGGAGGGACCATGTCCACTGTCCCATCGCTAGGACGCTGTCCTCCTGGGGGGACTGAGACCTTAGAGAACAGCGCTCGTGGGGATACGTCCCAGCCGCTCAGGACATCACCTCAGTGCTGCAGGGATGAGCGGAGCAGACCAAGGCCGCTGGGCCGCTGGGGATGGAGTGTCAGAGGTGCCCGTGGAGCAGCGGGAAAGCAGCTACTGCTGTGCCAGCCTCGACTTCCCCAAACATGTATGTGGCTGCCCCCCAAACTAGGGAGCAGCTCTCAAAGGTCTCCTTACCACTAGCGCTTCTTCCTGGCTGTGGATCTTTCTGCCGCTCAGCAACCTGGAAGACAGACGAAAGGACACAAGGTGAGCCGCTGCCTGGCCTGGCCGCCTCCCCAGGGAACCAGCTCAGCCTCCGCGGCCGCCACAGGGGCCCAGGGGACCTGGGGGGGGGGGGGGTAAGAGTGGGTTTAAAGGGAAATGTTGCACAGGACAGGGGTTGGGGAGGCCTAAATTGTGGTGAGAAGGGTGGAGAACAGCAGGGCAGAATCTGCCACCCACACCGCAGCACCCAGCACCAGCCAATTGAGCGTGCCACAGAATTCCGAGGACTGTGAATACGTGCCATTCGCCCAGGAGGCCACCAACGGCTCAGGGTCCCCAAGTTGAGATGGACCCAGTTCAAGGAATCCCAGCTGCCAAAAAGCCTAGAGTCTGGGGCCCGCACGGCGTGCACCTCTCGTGCTGAGCGGCAGGGCGACCTCCTGCTCTGCGCCCCCGTTTCCCAGGGCTTCCCCAGCCACAGCATGGCAGCCTGTCGCCAGGCGCTCCGGCCCCGCATGCCCTGGAGGGCCAGGACGCCTCCTTCTCCCTCGCGTGCCCAGTCCTCACAAGTCCCAGCCAGCTGTCAGCTCTGCTGCCTCCTAGAGGCGAGGCCAGCCCCCCGCAGCCTGGCTGAGGCCTGGTGGGGGTGGGGACAGGTGGAGAATGTGGGTGCCAGGCTGATGCGCGGGTGCTGAGTTACTTACTCAGCCTCGAACTGGTTGGGAGTTATGATGTCTGCCACCGGCACCACTTTCTCCCTGTACACTGGAAGGAGGTCCTCTGGAACGTACTGGAGAGCAGAGGAGAAGGCAGGAAAGGTCACCACACAGCAAGGGCAGAGGAGGCTCGACCCAAAGCACTCGGGGCGGATCCCAGCTAGGGTCTGTGGGGACAACTGGGGCAGGCACGGGAGCCCAGGGGTCACCACGGGTCCTGAGGTGGAGATGGGGGAAGGGATGGCACAAGGCTTCACTCAGGCCCGGGCAGAAGGGTGTTTGAGATCAAAAACCTCAGTTCGTGGGTCAACAGACTGGAAGACCAAGGGAGGGAGGGAGGGAGGGCGGCAGTCAGGAAGCGGGGGAAGTGACCGGGACAGAGGGCGCATCCCCGGCCGGGGGTGCTGGGTGCCCATCTGGCTCTAGGAATCTGACTCGCAGGTGACTTCCTCTCTCTACCCAGGTCAGGGCTATGTGCCAGTGTATCCAAGACTGGACGGGAGGAGCAGGTGATGAGAACTAGCCTTAAGTGAAAAAGCCACCCTCGGGCAGGAAGCTCTGAGCTCTAGGACAGCACTAACATACACTAAAAAAAAATCTGGGAAGGCGGCTCAGTGGTAGATCGCTTGCTTAGCACGCATGAAGCCCTGGGTTCGATTCCTCAGTATCACATACACAGAAAAAGCCAGAAGTGGAGCAGTGGCTCAAGGGGTAGAGCGCTAGCCTTGAGCAAAAAGAAGCATTAGGGACAGCGCTCAGGCCTTGAGTTCAAGCCCCAGGACTGACTTTGGGGGCTGGGGCGTCAGCGGCAGCATGCTTGCCTAGCACTGTAGGGCTCTGGTGTGACCTCCAGCATTGCAAGCGTGAAATCCACGCTTGTCTGGAGGGAGGAGCCAGTCATGCTTTTTCCTAGAGCCCCAAGAGGCAGCGTTTCTGTCACCAGAGTCCAGCACATTATCTCAGGTCCAAACTGGCCTGGGCTCCCAGGACTAAAGCAACCTGAAGAAAACCAGGACGGGCCTGCTAACACCCTCACGTGGACAGAGCCTCAGATCTTCTGCTTGGGTCAGTTGAGCACGCTGCAGTGAGCAACAGCAAGAAAGGAGGGGTGGGCCTATGAAAAGTGCCTTCCAGCAAACAGAGAAAGTGGGTGGACGGAAGCCGGGCGCCGGCGGCCCATGCCCGTCAGCCTAGCCACTCAGGAGGCTGAGAGCTGAGGATTGAGGCTCAAAGCCAGCCCAGGCAGGAAAGTCCAGGAGACTTATCTCCAATAAACCACCAGAAAGCCAGAAGTGGTGCTGTGGCTCAAGTGGCAGAGGGCTCTCCCTGAGCTCTTCAAGAGCTCTTGAAGAGCTCAGGGACAGTGCCCAGGCCCAGAGTTCAAGCCTCACGACCGACAAAAATGAAAAGAAAAAAAAGAAAGCGGATGGGAAGGTAGCCTCTGAGGAAGCCAGCCATCTGGCATGGGTGGGCGTCCACTGCCACCAGCCTCAGATGCTGACCAAGCAGGGCAGAGGGCCCGGGCCTGTCCAGCGCTGGGGTACCCCAAGCCCCGCCACCTTCCACACCCAGGCATTCACAGCGAGCGATCGGACAGGTCACACAACACCAATGGAGGTACACGCTAGAGCCGTTTGGGTCTTGAACTTGGAAGGCTGTTCTTGTGAGCTCGTTGCGATTTTCGCATGTCTAAGTAGTCAGGAAGGAAACCATCAGACCAAAGGTAACGTGAAAATGATTGCAAATTCCACGCAGAAATGTTGCTGACACGGTCATACCCACGGACCCACTGTCTGTGTCCATGGCACAGCTGCACAAGGCCTGGCGAGGCCGGCCTCCCCTTCCTACCAGAGGAGCTGGCCAGCCCCGGCGGGAGCCTGGCCGGCAAGCGGGGGAGGGCCCTACTTCCGGGGTCCAGCACAGCTGTGCGTGCGAGTCACGACAGCAGGGAAGACTCACCATGTATCCTTCGCCGCTCCACTTGTCCCCCATCACGGGATCACACACTGCAGAGACACAAGGCCTGGTCAGCAGCGGCCCTCCCGCCGACCTCCACGTGACGTGCAGAACAGGCAACAGGAACTTGGCCATTTCAGCCTTTTTTTTTTTGTTGCCAGTCGTGGGGCATAAACTCTGGGCGCTGTCCCTCAGCTCTTCAGCTCTTCAGCTCAAGGCTAGTGCTCTACCACTTGAGCCACAGTGCAACTTCCAGTTTTCTTGGGAGATGAGTCTCATGGAAGCCGGGTGCTGGTGGCTCACACCTGTAATCCTAGTTACTCAGAGGCTGAGATCTGAGGATTGTGGTTCAAAGCCAACCTGGGCAGGAAAGTCTGTGAGACTCTTATTCCAATAAACCACCAGAAAACTGGAAATGGCTCAAGCAGTAGAGCGCTAGCCTTGAGCTGAAGAGCTGAGGGACAGTGCCCAGGCCCAGAGTTCAAGCCCCATGACCGAAAAAAATAAGTCTCATGGTCTTTCCTGCCTGGGCTGGCTTTGAACTATGATCCTCAGCTCTCAGCCTCCTGAGTAGCTGACGGGTGTGAGCTGCCAGCCCCAGCTCATTTGAGTCTTTCTTATGCACATGAACCCAGTACTCCCATGCCATATAACCAGCACTACCATTCATAGCCAAATGTCTTCTTCTCCCCAGGCAGAAGCTCTGGCTGGGACTGCAGGTGTGAGCCACTGGCTTTGATCACCACATACAGAGCAGAGAACAAATGGCAAGCCATTTTCCTTGGTCTCATTCCCGGCCACGTGCATTTCTTTCTCTAAGGTGACTGGTTCTCCTGGTTGCTTTCTGTGGACTTAGCGCTCATGCCTGTGTCTGAAATGGCACGTCCCAGGTCGCCCAAGCAAGCCAGGCTGCTCAGGCCTCGCTGAACACACACCAAAGCCAGGCCTCAGTGTCTACCATGGTGCAAGCACATTCCTTCAGGTGTGAGCCCCCCAGAAGGTATATGTCCCCCAAAGGGTGTGAGTCCCAAGGGTAGACCAGGTGTGAGTCCCCAGAGGGTGGGCAGGGTGTGATTCCCCCAGAGGGTGGGTCAGGTGTAAGTCCCTAGAGGGTGAGCCGGGTGTGAGTCCCCAGAGGGTGAGCCGGGTGTGGGTCCCCAGAGGGTGGGCCAGGTGTGAGTCCCCAGAGGGTGAGCCGGGTGTGATTCCCCCAGAGGGTGGGCCTGGTGTGAGTCCCCAGAGGGTGGGCTGGGTGTGAGTCCCCAGAAGGTGAGCCGGGTGTGAGTCCCCAGAGGGTGGGCCGGGTGTGAGTCCCCAGAGGGTGAGCCGGGTGTGATTCCCCCAGAGGGTGGGCCGGGTGTGATTCCCCCAGAGGGTGGGCCGGGTGTGAGTCCCCAGAAGGTGAGCCGGGTGTGAGTCCCCAGAGGGTGGGTCAGGTGTGAGTCCCCCAGAGGGTGGGTCGGGTGTGAGTCCCCCAGAGGGTGGTTCGGGTGTGAGTCCCCAAGAGGGTGGGTCGGGTGTGAGTCCCCCAGAGGGTGGGTCAGGTGTGAGTCCCCCAGAGGGTGGGCCGGGTGTGAGTCCCCAGAGGGTGGGTCGGGTGTGAGTCCCCCAGAGGGTGGGCCGGGTGTGAGTCCTCCAGAGGGTGGATCGGGTGTGAGTCCCCAGAGGGTGGATCGGGTGTGAGTCCCCAGAGGGTGGTTCGGGTGTGAGTCCCCAAAGGGTGGGTCGGGTGTGAGTCCCCCAGAGGGTGAGTCAGGTGTGAGTCCCCAGAGGGTGGGCCGGGTGTGAGTCCCCAGAGGGTGGGTCGGGTGTGAGTCCCCAGAGGGTGGGCCGGGTGTGAGTCCCCAGAAGGTGAGCTGGGTGTAAGTCCCCAGAGGGTGGGCCGGGTGTGAGTCCCCAGAGGGTGGGTTGGGTGTGAGTCCTCCAGAGGGTGGGCTGGGTGTGAGTCCTCCAGAGGGTGGGCTGGGTGTGAGTCCCCCAGAGGGTGGGTCAGGTGTGAGTCCCCCAGAGGGTGGGCCGGGTGTGAGTCCTCCAGAGGGTGGATCGGGTGTGAGTCCCCAGAGGGTGGGTCAGGTGTGAATCCCCCAGAGGGTGGGTCGGGTGTGAGTCCCCCAGAGGGTGGGTCGGGTGTGAGTCCCCAGAGGGTGGGTCGGGTCTGCCACTGGCCAGCAGGCCGGGACTCTGTGTGCATGCTCAGGAGACCTGTGCCAGGTGAGGGCCTGGGTGTGCAGAACTGCCAATGCTGCTGCTGCTCCAGTGCCCTAGAGTTGGCACGTATAGCTAACCCAGACCCGTGCTCCTCCCCACGCCGGCCCTGCCCTAAGGGCCCATGTGGTCAGCACCTGCAGCCTACATCTCACACACCCATGTGAGCTCCTTGTGGAGCCTGGAAGGCTCCTCCCTGGAGGCCCAGTCAGGGGGGGCGGAGCAGGAAGGTGGGAGGTGACCAGGACAGGAAGGGGCGGAGCCGCCCCTCCTTGGGCCCAGAGCAGTCCAGGACTCACCGTACACCAGCCTGGAGTTCTGCTGCTTCAGCTCCCGCACAATGTCCACCACAGTGGCCAGGAAGGACTTGTCCCTTGTGTAACCTTGGGGAGAGAAACCCAGGCATGTTCCAAACGGGTCTTCACCCACCTCCTACAGCCACAGCAGCAACAGCACCCGGCTGCCCAGGTGAGGGACACAGATGGACAGACACCAGCTGCCAAGGCAGGCCTGCCCAACCAGTCTACAGTTGTGACACGTGACCAGTGGTTCCCAAGGAATGAACTCATGAGTGATTGGTAAAGGGTCTGTTTTTTCTTTATTTTTCCATAGAGATTGTTTTTATCTGGGCGCTAGTAGCTCACACCTGCAGTCCTAGCTACTCAGGAGGCTGAGATGTGAGGATCACTGTTCAAAGCCAGTCTGGGCAGGAAAGTCCATGAGACTTCTTGTTGTTGTTGGTCATAGGGCTTGAACTCTGGGCCTGAGCGCTGTCCCTCAGCTATTTAGCTCAAGGTGAAGGCTCTACCACTTGAGCCACAGCACCACTTCCGGTTTTCTGGTGGTTCATTGGAGATAAGAGTCTCATGGCCTTTCCTGCCCAGGCTGGCTTTGAACCACGATCCTCATATCTCAGTCTCCTAAATAGACAGCTAGGATTACAAGCATAAGCCACCGGCGCCTGGCTTCCATGAGACTCTTATTCCACTAAACTACAGGAAAAAGCCAGACTAGAGTTGTGGCTCAAGTAGTAGAGCACTAGCTTGAGCAAAAGCAGCTCAGGGATAACACCCAGGCCCTGGTCCAAGCCCCAGTACTGGAACAAAGAATAAAAACAAAAGTTTTCAAATAAGAATATCCAGCCTGGGGCTGGGAAGGTGGCTCAGTGGTAGAGCGCTTGCCTTGCATGCATGAGGCCTTGGGTTCAATTCCTCAGCACCACATAAGCAAAAAGAAAAAAAGCTGGGAAGTGGCACTGTGGCTCAAGTGGTAGAGTGCTAGCCTTGAGCTGAAGAGCTGAGGGACAGCGCCCAGGCCCAGAGTTCAGGCCCCACAACCGGACCCAAAAAAAAAGAAAAAAAATATCCAGCCTGGGCAAGTAAGTCCATGAGACTTTTTTTTTTTTTTTTTTTTTTGGGGGGGGGAGTTGTGGGGCTTGAACTCTGGGGGGAGTTGTGGGGCTTGAACTCTGGGCGTGGGTGCTGTTCCTCAGCTCTTCAGCTCAAGGTGAGCACTATACTCAAGTCACAGCACAACTTCTGGATTTCAGGTGGTTAATTGGAGATAAGAGTCTCACAGATTTTCCTGCCTGGGCTGGCTTTGAACCATGATCCTCAGATCTCTGTCTCCTAAGTAGCTAGGATGACAGGCGTGAGCCAGCAGCACCCAGCTCATGAGACTCTTATCTCCAACAACTCCGGAAGTGGAGTTGTAGCTCAAGTGGTAGAGTGCTAGTCTTGAGCAAACATGCCCAGGACAGCACTTAGGCTCTGAGTTCAAGTCTCAGGACACACACCACAGATCACACAGAAATATGACAAATGAAACTCATGTGCCAGTGATAATGGGTCACCCGTCTTGAGCCCTTTCCACCTGCCCCTCTCAGGGCTGCAGCCCTGGAACACCCGTGGTCTAAGCCTGGCACCCTGTGACAGGCCTCCAGACCACCAGGGGTGGCACACGCAGCCTCTTCCCACAGGAGGCAGGGACCGGGCACTGACCAGGGAGGGGGCTCTGACCCCACCCAGGCTGAGAGGTCTCAGGGCCTGGGGCCCGGGCCCCTCACCTGTGAGCACGTAGTCATACTTATTCACGTTGTTCAGCTTCAGACCTTCGTACAGATCGTGGAGCTCCTGGGAGTTCAGCACGTGGCCCTTCCAGTGAGCATAGCCTGTCGGGAAACAGGTCATGCAGGCCTTGCTACGCATGGCCACAGGCTCCCGGTGACACTGCCCGCTCCTGAGGCTGGCAGGTGGATGGCTTTCTTCCTGGGCTGGCCAAGGCATGCACGAGGTCATTCAGGAATGTGCTTCAGTGGCCTCCAACCTGTCTAAGCGGACCTGCCCTAGGGCACTGGGGGGACCAGAGGCTTACACCTTCCATGCAACCTCCTGATGGATTAATCCAGTTCAGTGGGTACTCAGCACCTCTGGGGAGCCTGTGTCCTCAGGACGGGTCGTGGGGAAGGAGGTCACTGTGCCCCAGCAGGTAGAGCCTCATCCCGTCCCTGACCCACCCCTCTCCCCAACAAGCTCATTAACGTGCAGTAACAGCAAGTCACAGATCAAAGCTTGAGCCAGAGAGAAGACCACATGGGGCCGAAAGGCAATGCCTGGAAGCCACACCCGTCCTGGAGTGCGGTGAGCAGATACAGTCCTCAGAAATACGCGCGACCCACCACTTAGTGCTCAAGCCACTGGCGTGCTGCTTACTTGAATGTAAACAAATGTTTCTAAAACCCAGGGTGGTAGCCAGGCGCTGGTGACTCACGCCTGTCATCCTAGCTAATTGGGAGGCTGAGATCTGAGGATCACGGTTCAAAGCCAGCCCAGACAGAACATCCAGGAAAGTCCATGAGACTCTTATCTCCAATGAACCACCAGAAAACCGGAAGTGGTGCTGTGAAGTGGTAGAGCACTAGCCTTGAGCTGAAGCGCTCAGGGACAGCACCTAGGTCCAGAGATCAAGCCTCACGACTGACCAGAAAAAAAGAAAAAGAAAAAGAAAAACCCATGGTGGCAAAAGACAGCAGTTCTGGTGGCTGCAGACTCTGCCTCCTGGCACTTTTCATCAGAGCACCCCGAACCCGCACAGGGCCACCTGCACCCTCCTCACGCATGCCACGCGTAGCCTCCTCCAAGAAACCACTGGAAGGCCCGCAGCAGGCTGTGGCTGCTCCCTGATTCCTCAGGTTCGGGAGAATGTCAGGACAGGACAGGGCTGCAGGGAGCTTCAAAGGAACCAGGGGCTTTGCTCTCCTGCCACAGGGGGCCTGGCTGCAGTCCACGTGCAGTGGGCTCCGAAGGCCGTGGGCAGGCAAGGGAACCAATCCTCGCCTTGGAAAACTCCAGGGCTTCTGAGTCCCTTGCCCTCAGCGCTGAGCAGCAGGTCCTGGGGTCCCTAGGGGCCAGACGGTCACATGCAAGCCCCCTCCCCGTGGCACTGGTGTCAGGCTCCAGCTGCCAGCTCACCAGGGGATGACTGCGGGGGACTCTGCCCAGGCCCACGTGTCACCCTGGGTGTGGCGGGCGCGTCACCATGGGATGCAGCTCGGCATCGCCAGCACTCTGTGAGGTCTGCCTGCTGAACCCACGACCTTCCACAGGTGTGGGGGTGTCCACTCTGCTTTGCCCAAGAGGAAACGGAGGCAGAGCGGTCCTGAAACTTGTCCTGAGTCACACAGCTCCAGAGCAGCGCAGCAGAGCCACACCCCAGAGTCCATGCCCCACAGGTGACCCAGAGCCACGCACCGCGGCATGCAGTGTCAAATCCCTGGCTTCCGGCTGCCGGCAGCACGGCTCCCAACGCCACCTCAGTCCTGCCCTACTGCTGCCCCAAGGCCTTACCTGTGTGGTTTGAAAACTGGACAGAGTTCACAGCATCGATTTCAAATCCCAAAACCTGCAGACAAATGGCAGGGACAGGATTAAGAGCTCTGATCTGCTGCCCCACAAACTCACTGCAGGTGCCCAGAGATGCCTGGGCACCAGCTGGGGGAGGGGCAGCAGGCTCCTGGCCGGCACACTGAAACAGGCCACTGGACACTTGTACTTGCTGGGTGTCCCCCCTGTTCTTTATGTAAGGAAGAACCAGCCCAAGGGGCCATACAGAGCCCTGGCCCAGCTTTCTGGGATTCACTGAGGGCTCATGGATGGTTCTGGAGACCCCACCGAGTTGAAGTGCTCCAGGAAATAACGCCATGATTGTTGAGACTCCCTGAGCCGGGCCTCGGGCCGTAGATGTTGCAAGCCCCACACCGGGTTGCAGCGCGCTGCTGGGCAGCAGGCGGCCAGCTCCACCTCCTCCTGGGTCAGCTGGGAGGAAGCCGGCCCCACTCCAGGGCCCGAGGTCTCCCTGGAAACCAGCAGGGCTGCCAAAGGCCTGCCACTGAGCCAGCCTCTCAGTGGCCCTGGTGGGCGGCCGGGGGTGCGGGAGGGGGGACTCCGCCGCTGGGGAGCCCCAGCTTCAGCTGTTCACTCAGTGCAAGGCAACGGACAGGACGAGATTCAGAGCTACAGATCCTATCGCCTTCCTTCCGTGGCGCGGCTGGAGCGTGGCAGCTCTCGCCCCGATCCTCGCACCCCTCCGTCGGGGGCAGCTGCTCCCACTGCCCCTGGGAGGCTGCGGGCCGGCCACTGGCCCATTCCACCAGGACAGCGCGGTGGGGACCAGGGGTACGAGGCCCGCCACACGGCCCAGGGAGCCACTCCAGCAGCCCCCAGACCCCCACAGCCCAGAGCCAAACCTCCAGCCCCGGGTCCTGGGCCTCGTGTGAGGGCCCAAGGTCAGGAGGGCTCTTCGGAAGCCAGAGGGCGGCGCGCTCGTGCACTCTCAGGAGAATGGAGGACGGCTGGCGATGCAGGAGGGAGCGCCCAAGCCCTGGAGGCCGCCATCGCCCCGCACGAGGCCGGGGGCCCTCAGTGGGCTCCCCCAGGATCTGTCCGGACACTGAGTCCAGACCCGCCCCCCGCCGAGAGCCACGGGCAAGGCCCCACATGGGACCTGACTGGGGACCGAGCGCCCTGGGGAGACTGGGCGGGGCGTGGAATTCACTGAGGGCTGCCCCGTACGCGGCCCGGCCACCTGGACCGGTGTGAACCAGCCAGCCACCTCCCGGGCCCCCCTCCACTCACGGCTGTCCTGCCATCCTCCCCCGGAGTTGCTGCCACCATCGCCACAGTGACGTCCTGCCCGCGAGGGACCCCCTGCTCCCACCGCCTTCCTGGAAGCTGGCCCCTCACCCGGCTCCGTCCCGGCTGGCATCTGCCAGGGAGGACCTCCTTTCTCCATCTGCTCTGCTCCCCATTCTGCCAACGGCCATGCCCAAGCCCAACCCTCCCCTGGGGGCTGAAGGGTCGCCCCTCTGTCCCTGCCTCCCCCAGCAAGGCCTCAGGTGAACCGACAAAGTTCACTCGCACAGCCTGGGCCGTCCAAGGGCAGCAGCGCAGAGCTCAACCGTGTGTGACAGGCACCGGCAGGCACGGCGTGGGAGCCAGGGTCCCAGGGTCCAACGGTCACTCACTCCATCCACTGCTGGCCTAGAGAAGACCTGCCCACAGGGTGTGGGGCGGGGAGGAAGGGAGGAGCTAGAAAGTCTGGTAGGACCAACGCCAGGACCGCCAGGAGGCAGGAAGGAACTGAGACCCTCCCCTGAAAACCCGGGACAGGAAGCAAGGAAGCAAGGTGAGAGACGGCAAGGAGCTCTGGGAAGCAGAAAAGAGGCCTCACAGCACACAGTTCTGGAGGCCTACCCAGGGGCGGAGAGGAAGTGAGCCACCTCACCCCCACACTTCCCAGAGGGGGCAGAGAGGCAGAGCAAGACGCGGCAGGGCCGGAGGTCACGGGACAGAGCGAGGCACAGGGACGACAAGATGGCATGTGGTACGGCAGGCCGGGCGCCAGCACCTACGCCTGCATCCCAGCTGCTCAGGAGGCTGAGATCTGAGCATCAGCCAGCCTGTGAGACACCAAAAAGCCAGATGGCAGTGCAAGTCTTAAGCAAAATGCACAGACACAGCACTGAGGCCCTGAGCCCCGGCCCCAGGGTCCCCCACGCTCCCGAGACAGAGCCGAGGCCCTGAGCCCCAGCCCCAGGGCCACCTTCCCCCCCCTCCCCCCGCGACACACAGACAGACAGACAGACAGACACACACACACACACACAAAATCTGGCGTGGTGGCAGGAAGGCAGCTGACCCAGAGCTGGTCACATTGGACTCTGCCTCATGGTGGTGTCTACTCTGTGCTACTTCAATGGAGCTGTTTGCTTAGGATTTGTATTCAAAAATGTTACAGCGGTATTATGACCATAGTAACAGAACGCAAACTAGCTCTGAAGCCAAACGTGTACAAACGGTTTTTGCCTTATTTCTCCACCCCATACCACTCACAATATCATAAACTCCTTCAACTCCACTCAAGTCTGATGAAACAGGTCTATAAAGCAATGATGGCACAAATCTTGGAAATCCTGCCAAGATATTGTGCTCTGCTCTTTCTGCTTGGGTAGATAATTAATCCTCTGAAACTGGCAAGTGTACCCGAGGAGGAAGTTGCTATTTTCTGCTTTTAAATGACGGCGCAGAGCCTCTGGGCCGGCATCTCCATTTCAAATCCTGGCTGATTAATAAGTGTCACATGCTAGTTTCAGCATTTCTAGCATCCACTTATCCACCAAGCTGCATTTGCAAGGCATGGCCGGGCTGAGCTCCGCGGTGGGCCCCTGGGCCCCAGAAGGAGCCTGCTGTCCCTGAACTCTCGTCCCTAGCAAAACCCACACTCCTGTACTCGGTAGCAGGACGGGCTTGTCTGCCCACCAGCAGCTCCCTCAGGGCACCGGTGGGGGGGAGTGGGGGGGGGGGGTGGAGGGAGGAGGGTGGGGGAAGGGAAGGCTCCGGGTGCTCCCAATCACTTCTCCCCTGGGAAGAACGCCTCTTCCCCCACCCTGTGCCCTTCTTCAGAACCCGGGCAGGGATGGGGCCTCCCTCATGGCAGGTGAACCCTCTTTACGGTGGGCCGGTCCTCCCAGAATCCTGCATCACACCTGACAGGCCTGTGGAGCCCGCCTCCTCTCCTTCATCCATGGGTACCTGTCAAAGCCGGCACTTGGATCCATCCGTTACCACCTCCAAAAATACCTTTGTGTTCTTACACGGCCTCGTCTCTCCTCCCACACCTGGCTGAACAGCCAAACTCCATTAACTAGCTGCTTCCTAATGACCCAGTCCAGCTTTGGCCAGCACTCTGCTGCCTCACACACCTTGTCCCCTGCCCTCGCCCCCAGGGACAAAGAGACAAACTAGAGTGGTGGCTCGGGTCGGACACGGACACACACACACACACACACACTCACACATGAGAGAGAGAGAGAGAGAGAGAGAGAGAGAGAGAGAGAGAGAGAGCAGCCGCCCAGTAGCCAGGGCAGAGACCTCCCTGCCCCTTGGCAGTCACGAGCCACTCTTGGGCCACCTGGGCAGGAGCTCAGTCTGTGTATTGTCTTGCAGGAGAATCACCTGAAGTGCCCTGGGGGCCCGGTGGCAGGCAGGACTCTGAGTAGTCCCCTGGGTCCTTGCTCACTTTGTGCCCCTTCCAGTAGGGTAAAACCTAGGGTGTGAGCACACGCCGGCCTACGGGGTTATCCCCATGCGTTCCACCTGGGAGCCTCTGAGAGCAGCCTCTGCTCGGGCTGTGGGCAAAAGAGGACATTGGAAAGGGGAAAGGGAAGCAGGGCTCATGAACGGCAGCTGCTTGAAAATGGAGGAGACCGCGTGAGGAAGGCAATCGTGCGGCCAATTTAACATGCGTCACCGAGCCATAAAACTCACAGTTCTAATTACTTCAAAAGGAAATATCATTAGTAGTCCAACCTGCCATCTCCTAATTACTAGCCTCTCCATTCTCTATGTCCTTGAGGGTTCTGTCTGACTGTGTGGTGGGACACTGCATGGTGGCGGTGACAGAACATTGCCTCCAAGCCAACAGCGCCGTCCTGCCACAGTGAAAGTGTCCACGCCAGAGAAACTGGCACAAGTACCAGACACCCCTCCCTCATGCTGCCCCCAACAACCAGCACACCACAGGCTCTTGGTCCAAAGCTACATAACCAGACACGCAGTACACATCTGTAAGCAAGACGTCAGCACTCAAGAAGCAGAGACAGAAGCCCAGCACTGTGGCTCACGCCTATAATCCTAGCTACTCAGGAGGCTGAGATCTGAGGATCATGTTTCAAAACCTCTGTGAGACTTATCTCCAGTTAGCCATCAGATAACTGGAAATGCTGCTGTGTCAAAGTGGTAGAGCATTAACCTTGAACAAAAAACCTCAAGGATAGCACCCATGCCCTGAGTTCAACCCCCACAACCAACCAAAAAGAAAAAGAAAGCTGGGTGCTGGTGACTCACACCTGTAATCCTAGCTACTCAGGAGGCTGAGGTCTGAGGATCCTGGTTCAAAGCCAGCTGGAGCAGGAAAGTATGTGAGACTCTTTATCTCCAATAAACCACTCAGAAAACTGGAAGTGGCACTGTAGCTCAAGTGGTAGAGTGCTTGCACTGAGCTGAAGAGCTGAGGGACAGCGCCCAGGCCCAGAGTTCAAGGCCCATGAACCACAAAAAAAAAAAAAAAAAAAAACTAAAAGGAAAAGAGAAAGAGAAAGAAAAAGAAAGAAAAAAAAAGGGAAAGCTGGGTACTAGTAGCTTTGTAATCCTAGCTACTCAGGAGGCTGAGGTGTGAGGATCATGGTTCAAAGCCAGCCTGGGCAGGAAAGTCTGTGAGACTGATCTTCAATTACTGACCAAAAAGACAGAGGTGGAGCAGCGTTTCACTCAAAGGACCAGCTTTGAGTGAAGAAGCTAAGGCATAAAGCTCAGGCATTGAGTCCAAGTTCCAGCACCAGCACC